ACCATACAAAAAAAAATTATAAATAAATTATTATTTTTTTTGAAAATATGTTTCTCGATATCTATAAATTCATATATTCTCGATGTCTATAAATTTATATAAACCTTACATGGCTCCAATAATATGATCTTTCATAATTGTACATTTTTGTCATAAAACAGCTTCGAGTAGCGGATGCACAACATTCAAAATAGTGTCGAGTAGCGGATGCATAACATTCGAAATAGTGCCGAGTAGCATATATGTAACTTTCGGTTTGATGCCGAGTGCAAAGGGTTAATAATGATTTTCGGCATATTTCGACATGCGTTATTATCCATCTTAACTTTAGAATCGAAAAAATCCCATACTGTTTTGATCTTGACGACATAGGATTCGATTCTTTTTATTTCTTCTTCCGTACCATCCATGGAAACCAAAGAGTCGATTCTCTCTTCCACTAATGAATTGTACTCTTCACAGATACTTTTAAATTCATTTATCTTCTCAAGTGAACATTCCAGAGCCCGTGACTCAACACCATGATAAAACTTCGTGATCACACCTCGAACCACTGTTAATCTAGACTTGGCACCACTTGACGACATTTGGTTTAACAAAACAAACTTTATTTATTTTCACAAAAGAACAAGGGAAAAACAATATTTTGTTGTTGCTGATAATATCATATACATACAACTGAAAGGCAGATATTTGTGAAATTAAATGCATATATATAGATTTGCAGTTCATTCATTCATTATCAATGGCCATGAAAAATTTATTTATCCAATTCATTTTCTGAGAATTGTTATTCATATGATGATGATGCATTTTCAATTTTATATATTTGATGATATTTTATCCATGAGCATTTTATTTGATAAAATGATGTCGAATGAAACAGATGTATGTTGTGAATTCAAAAAACCAATTTCGTTGTGTTGGAAAAATTTACGTTATGAAGTTGATGAATGGTTTATGGTCGATGGTTGGCAACCACGACGACGGCGAAAAGTGATCCTCAATCGTCTTAATGGATCAGTACGGATAAACAGTTTGAATGCATTGCTTGGACCATCCGGTGCCGGTAAAACTTCGCTCATAAATTGTCTCATTGGCAATGTTCCAGCCAAGAACATTTCACCCGACACTGAAATTTATATTAACAGTGAAATAATCACAAAGTCATCGAATTCATTGGTCAGTTTTGTGCCACAATTCGTTCATGAGATAATCCTTGGACGGTTCACAGTGCTCGAGACTTTGTATTATGCATTCTGCTTCAAGAATCCTGCTCACTATCATGGCCGAGCATATCAACACATCCAGTCAACGATTCAGGAATTGATGCTAAATCCAAAAGTGTTGCAAACACGTTTCGAAAATTGCTCTGGTGGCGAACAACGTCGAGTGGCTATCGCTCAAGAGCTGATGTCAATCGAATCGAAACCACCGTTTTTGTTCATCGATGAACCTACTACCGGTCTGGATAGTGAGTCAGCATTGGTGGTCATGAAGTGTCTACAACGATTGTCCACACAGAATGGCATCACAGTCCTCGTGTCAATTCATGCTCCCAGTTCGGATATATTGGATATGTTCGATCAATTGTATATCATAGCCAAAGGAGGTGTTTGCATTTATTCTGATCAACCGGATCGATTACGGTCACATCTGAATCAAATCACTGGAATCGCATTGAATGAGGATGATTCTCCGATCCAGGAATATCTTCGTATCGCTAGCAATGGCATCAATGATGAACAAGTGAGAAAATTAACACAAGAAAGTGTGCAACAAGACCATCAACGACTTACAGCTCAATTCAGTAAATTTGAAAAAGAAGAATGTCCATTTGCTTCTATTCCAAAAGGTATTCCTCATTATTCACGAAAATTTCGTAGTTCGGATCTTTGGACACAATTCCGGCGTCTATTACGTTTGACATTCATAGCAGATGTTCGGCATATAATTGGTATTTTGATTTTAATCATAATAACTCTTATTACTTATACATCAATCACCAATAAAGATATGGTGATACCACGAGGATGTATACCATTTAATATTGAACATTTGAATCAAACCTGTCAGAATAAATTGAAAGAAGATCGATTAATCGGAACACTTATTATGCTACTTTTTTTAATAATATTACTTACATTTTCACTCGGTATAGCAATGTATTCGTTGATGACAGTGAATTTTATGAAAATTCTCCGTCACGAATATCGTACTGGTAAGACTCGTAGCATTGAACACAGTATATATCTAATTTATATATTTTATTTACAGGTTGGTACAGTTTTTCATCATTAATCCATCCTGTTCATGCGAATGACTTGATCACATTGATATTCATCGTTATTATAAGCGTTGTGACTTATTATGTGACTAGTGGCATTCTCTATATTGATGAATATCGAATAAATTGGTATCGTTTGAGCCCTCTATATTTATTTAACATTGTTTCATTCCTGTATGGCCAATCATTCGGTTATTTATTGACCAGTATTTGTATTGATCAATTTGAAATACTTCTCATTCTATGTCAAGTAGTGGTGGTTATAGTAAATATAAATAATGGATTGATAGTTATCAGTGATTTAATGGACAAACCATTTTATCGAACAATATCACATTTACTTGCTTCTCGATTTATTGCCGATGGATATCTTTATACATACTATGGTATTGATCGTTGCGATCCACAAACAGAATATTCACAAATATTGAAACAATTTTTCGTCGACACAGACTATGTCTATTCAAACCTAGAAAAGCCGATGATTGTAATAATAGTGATTCGAATCATTTCTATCATTGTGATGCGTTGGACATTTAGCAATGTGAACAATGGAAAAATCGTATCAGCAACAAAACAAGAAACATTGACAAAAATCCTAACTCCTGCAATTGAAATCGATTTTCATGAAAAGTCTACGTTTGTCCAGATTTTAGATAGTAATAATAATAATGTTGAACCTCAAATGACCAAAAATGAATTTCAACAATTTTGTACTGGCCGTTACATAATTGGATGGCGTCAATTGACATTGTTTGCGACTGATACCATCTATGAAGTGCGTCCTACACCTGAATCGTTAGATGATTTGGGAGACAAGTTGATATTACGGAATCTCAGTGGACAATTTCAGTTTGGAACATTGAATGCAATCATGGGCAGCTCCGGTTCGGGCAAAACGTCACTGTTGAAAGTTTTCAATGGAAAAATGAAGACCAAACTGACCGGCTCGACACAATTCTACCTCAGTCGATTCGTACCGATTCGGACTTGCTATATCAAACAAGAAGTATCCAAACACTTGATACCCGGATTGACAAGCAAACAAAGTTTGGTCTATGCTTCTAAATTAAAGAATTGTCACGAAACACAAACAATTGATCATGAACAAGTGGCTGACAATTTGCTCAATGAATTAGACATGACCAACACGGCCAACACTTTGGTCCAAAATTGTTCCGGTGGAGAAAGGAAACGACTGGCTCTGGCAATGGAATTGACATCTGTTCGAATGCCCAATCTAATTTGCATTGATGAACCTGTCAGTGGTTTGGATTCCAATTCGGCACGGTTGGTCCTTCGATGTCTTCGACGATTCATTGCTCGTCATCCAGATATCACTATGGTGGTCAGCATTCATCAACCTAGTACCGAACAGCTGGACATGTTTGACCTATGCTATGTGCTTGCATTCGATGGTCTTGGTATCTACTCTGGACAGCCAGCCCGAATCAAAAGTTTTCTCAGTGAAACATCTTCCATCGATGAAGATAAACGATTCCCAATCGAAACTCTCATCCGATATTCTTGCACTGGTCACTCGAATTCCATCGTACAGCGATTAGCCGAAGAAACTGATAATCAAATCAATAAAATCACACCGTCACTGTTACAGGATACTGTTCATATAAAGGATGGTGTACCATTCCCTCGAATGCGATTTTCATTGCGATCGGTATCAATTTTATTCCGACGTTTGGCTCATTGTTCAATCCGATATCAATGGCCATTATGGCTTACAAGTGTGATTGTACACGCCTTTCTAGGCATTATGATTCTTGATTTTTTTGATAAAAAAATAGCTGAAATTGACGGTTGTATATCGATAGAAGATGATTTTCAAGCCGTTTGTTTGAATGTTACTGATCATAAATGGAAAAACGATTCTCGTCTTGCCAGCAATGTTAATTTTGTCATGTTTTCAAGTTTAGCATTCTTTTCGATATTGAATGCGCATATAAGCAACTTGTTTTCCTTCGAAGTGAAATTTTTCGCAACTCAACATTCAAATGGTATGTTTTCGATTTTCGTTTCTTTTTAATCACTTTGAATTAACTAATTTATTCTAATTAAAGGGTGGTATACGTGTGGCGCATATTATTTGGCGAAATCATTGTTCGATTCTATCATGATTCTTTCGATCGTCATAATCTTTGCTTATGTAATCGATATCTATTCAACAGTTTCGCCCAATAATTTTTTCTGGTGGCAAGTGATCAATTTATATTTATCATCATTGTGTTTTCTGGCCCTAATGAATATGAACGTTTTGTTACTACATAGATCAATTATTGCCATATTTATTGTAATAGGATTTTCACAGGGCTTTTTTCTATTATTATCCAATGTATACAATGTAATTGAAGAAATGAATTTTATCGTACGTTTTCTATCGAATTTTTCAATATATCGGTATCAATTTCATGCAACATTATGGCTTATTTATGGTGGTGATCGTTGTAAATCGTATGAAATACAATCATTGATGTATATATTTAATATTCCAACAAATGTTGAATATTTCTACGATTGTATTGTCAAATTAGTCTTATTGGTCATATTTTATCATACAATGGCATTATTAGTATTCTGTGTTAAATACAATCCATTGATCAACCGACATGAAAGAGCCGAACGTATTGAACGTTATCGTAATGAACATATTCTTAAGATAGAATCGAAACATTTATTTTAAGTTTATTGAAAATAAATTATCAAGATGAAAAAAACCATACATGCCTAATAATTGTTAATAAATAAATAAATAATTTGTAACATTATCGTCTATCATAATCATAGTAATGTTGTTGTTGACTATGACATGTATCTTTTCGTCTTTGTATGAATTGTGATGATGCAAGTGGCGATGGTGATGACCATTGAATATCATCAGAATTCAATACGATTGGTCTAACATCAATGAATCCAGGCCAATATAGGAGATTTTCAGTTTGAATATTTTCACCTTCATCTGATTTCGGCGGTAATGACCATTGATTTTCATCGAATCGTTTTGCTTTCGGTGATGATCGTCGTAATGAATAATTGTGGCCAAATATTTTGGTCAACATAGCTGTAGCTAGAAATGGTATACCTAATTTGAATGCACGTCGTTGCCATCGGACAGGACTAGTGATCAACGGTTGACTGGTGGATGTACTGAACAATGATGGTGGTGACAATACTTCTGGTTGTCTAGTCGTTGTCGTCATAATTATTGCCGGATTTGATGTCGTTTTTGGTCGTTTCACGTTATGTTCATCGATTATGAAACTATTGAAAAGCCGTTGTAAATGATTTGAATTCGGTGCATATTTAGTAATATTTCGTAACATTTTCAAATTTATTATTTCCGGTAATAAAAATTCAAATGATTCAAATCGATCCGTATCACAAACACATCGACAACGATCATTTGAATGTCTATTTTTACTATTGTGGTCAAGATTCGAATTTGAAACCAAATTCAAGTCTAAATAGTCAGGAATTGTTTCAATATTTTTTCGTTGAAATCCTTTTCGTTGATTAATTGAATCATTATCCGTTTGTTTCGTCATCCGACCATTGTCATTATTCGATTGATCCAAACGAACCATTGTATAATCATCATCACGAACAACGTTGCTACTGCCATTGTATTTGATGTTGAAAAATTTATTCAAATCTTTTGTATTGATTCGATATGGTTCAGATTTTTCTAAATGAGGTGTGAGAAACAAAAAACTTTAAAATCAAATTCAAAACAAAATTTTACGAAATAAAATTACTTACCACAGGAAGCTTCGATAAAAAACACTATTATAATCACCAGATTGATGCCGTAACCATACATGATGTTCCCGTTGAATTCCAAAAAAAAAAACGAAAAAACAATATGCTCGAGATACTTTTGGAGAAAATCAAATGATCAAATCGAATATTTTGAATCGAATGTGACATATTCCATTCTTTTTTTCGATCTTCGACAACCAAATGGTAATAATGTACAGAAAATAAAATCTAGTTTGCAAACAAAAAGAAAAAACACACACTAACCTGTCTTTTTTTTTTCTTTTCTTTCAAACTATATCTTATTATAGTTAGTTAGAACGATCTACACACACACATTCAAACAAGCTATAGTAATATATTGAAGAATCATCAAAAACATTCGAACCGGAACAATTTCGATTATTTTTTTGTTTCTATTTTCTATTTTTCTTTTTCTATTCTTCACTGTCAAACTATTGTGTAAGTGTGTGATAAATACACACACACACACACACATACAATCGTGTGACATATAGGAAGTGTTTGTTGTATATATTGGTTTTGGTGATAACAATGCAAAAAAAAAATGCCAATTATATAAAAATGGGTCAATGTTATTTTCGTTTGGGTGGTGCGGTGGTGGTGGTGGTGGTGGTAATGGTACTGGTGGGTTTATTGTATAATTATAATCACCCTATATCTATTACATTGTAACCAAAATTTAATGGTATGATCATTTACATTGGTTATTTTTTGTTGTTGTTGTTGCATTAATTAACCCAGATTTTTATTTTTATTTTCTCATTTCAATTTTTATTAGAAAGAAAAATAAACAAATAAGGAAATGTAACATATAGTGTGATCATATCAGTGAAATATAAAAATTCATCTATAAAATCAGATATAAAAAAAAATTTGACAATCATCATCATCATATGGAAATGGAATGAGCAAAAATTCATTTATCATTTTTTTTTGTTCTGTTTTAGTTTGTTCAATCTTTAAATTTCATCGTACATGAAATTCATCAGAATCCAATTGATCATTATGATTATGATGATGATATGATTGTTGTTGCTGTAAATACTGATTCAATTGTCGTATATAATCATTTTCTTCAAGATATGCATACGATGGTCTGATAATATTTTCATATACAAAATGTATTGCCGTTGGATTATGTGGTATAACACATTGTACAAGTATTAATCCTTTTATAAAAAATCCTAATGGTATTAGATTACCAAATAAAAGATCAACAGTTATAAAGAATGACATGAATATCCAGAATCTAAAAAAAAAAAAAAATATTGGATAATTAAATTAAAATTCAATCAAAACAAAATAACTTACTTGACCAGATCAACAAGATCTTCACGTTGTAAATGTGAACAATATTTAAGTTTATAATATGAACGATATGATGGATAAAGAAACATTATAATACGTGATAATGTATCCAAAAATGTATAGCTAAATATTAGATAGCCAATTATTAATATTAATAATATACGTGCTAAAAAACGTTTCGATATATTTGTACGTTGTTCTAATTGCATTAATGCCTGTACAATAAGATTATCTTCAGTATCAAGAAAACGATCCATTGTTTCCATTACATTGTTAAACATTGTTTTTAATGCTGCAGCTTGTTGTTGTTGTTGCTGCTGTTGATGATGATTATTATTATCATTGGAATTTGCCGTAGATGATGATTTGTTTTTTGATGTTGTTTTCATTTTTTTTTTTTTTTTTTTTTGACCGTTGAGAATTATTTTGAATTTAAATGAATGTGTAATGTAAATATAAAACAAAGAAAATGTAAATCGTCGTTGTTATTGGATGATGATCAGAAAATCAAAATCAAAATTTTGATTGCTTTAATTGATAATAATGTAGCAGCAGTATCGACAACAACAAATTAAAAACATTCGATGAAAATGATGCGTTCGATTTTTTTTCTGATGATGATGATGATGATCAAATCCACTATAGTGAATTATCATGTTTTTTGATGATGATGTGATGTCAATGTTTGTTTGATTGTTTTGTTTTGTTGTTGTCATCGACATATAATAATAATAATGATGATTTCAACATTTTTTTTCTGTTTTCTTTTGTTTTGTTTTCTGCATTCATCCATTCATCATTCATTTTAAAGATACAATACGCATTCACATTTCAGTCAGTGATACAAAAAAAAAAGTGGATGATAACTTGCATCATCCATCTAATAATAATGGATGTTTTGGACATATAATAATTAAATGCACAAACAGATAGAAAAAGAGATTGAGTGTTTGATATGTGTGTGTGTGTGTGTTACCACCACCACCACCATTTGTATATCATCATTATTTGGTTGTTGTATACAACAAGAAAACTGATCAAAACATTGAGAGAAAGAGAGAGAGAGAAACAAGAGACGATCATTATGATCAACTGTCTGTCACTATGTATGTATGTGTGGATAGAGTATTTCTTTCAATGACGACCATCATCATCATCATCATTAATGATAATTTACTATTGTTGATGATGATGGTGGTGGTGGTGGTGGTCTGTTTGGTTTGGTTGGCTTTTTTTCAACACTGTTGTTGTTGTGGCAATATTATTGTGTTGTTAATGATCGATTGTCTACGACGTTTGTCAACAACAATAATCCAATTGAATTGCCATTGGCGCCCATAATAACCAGGAAGATGAATATATTTAAAATAAAAAAAAACTTGAATTAATGAATGATAACTGGTTATTAATAGTGAATGGTCAAAAGCTCTTGATTCTTGAATGCTTACCATTCGAACGTAATAGTAAAATAGTAGGATTCCTTTGTTTTCGAATGATAGAATGAAAATTTAAAACATTGAGAGACATTTCGATTTGATTTTACCTGAATTTGAATGACTATGCCATAATTAGACAGGTTCTTCATCCTTTTCCATGGCTGTTGTTGCTGCTGTCATTATTTTGACATTGAAAACAAAAAAAAATAAGTCATTGAAATTAGCAAATTTCGAACAATTTCAAATAATTTAATTTGAGTAATAGGTGGAATTTTTTTTTTAGTTGTTGCTTCCATGAACATAAAATGGATCGAATTTTTTTTTTCGTCAAGAAAAAAAAACGTGTTGAATTTTTGTCATGGCAACATTCGGAACGACAATGTTCAAATCAATAATCGACGATGATGTCGCTGATAAAGAAGATGAAGATGATATTGATATGAAAAGTATTGGAAATATTATACGAAAAATGATAAGAGATTGGCGTATTCCCGATAATGCGGAAATTTTATCAGAAGAAACATTTTTCGAACAACAACATCAACAACAACAACAACAACAGCAGGCAACTATTTCGATCGATTTATTATATCGAATGATTCGAAATGATATTGATGATCAAAATAGAAAACATTCAAAAAATGATCAAGAAGCTAATCGATTTTTACAAATGGGACAATATTTCATTCGACAAGGCAGATTATCGGAACTGAATTTAGCCATTAATTGTTTTTCAAGAGCCATACTTACAGCTGCAAATGATCGTCTATTATTTGAATCATATCATCATCGTGCATTGGCATTTCTTTCGAAAAGATTATTTTATTATTCATTTTTTGATTCAAATTATTATCTAGAAAATGTTATTGAAGATAGTGATAATCATCGTACCATAAGTGAATGTTATATTGAATCATGTATAGAGATAGTTGATTCAAATTTAAATAAAACTACCTGTTTTGGACGTTCTGATTCACGTATACAACGATGGATGCGTATAGCAGCAGAATTTTTGGACCGTGCACGAATTGAATTGGCCATTCAGATGCTTTCAACGACAACAACGAAAACGAAACCATCCGATCGTCTGATACAATGGATGTATAAATTGGATTCATTAGAAACGAAAATTGATCTATCGCCAACAATGGCTGCAAATAAATTTCAATATTATCCATATAAACATAGCAATATGGAACAAGTGATGGATTTGAGTCAAAATTGCTATAAAGATAATACGGTTCAACCACGTGGCCACGATATCTTGTATGAAAAACCAATATCAATGTTGACCACAAAACCACTTCGTTATTGTGGTTGGTGTGCCAATTGGATTGGCTATAAATTCATTCCATGCGTTGGTTGTGATCAAATTATTTATTGTAATAATTATTGTCGCCGTTTGGATGAAGAATTTGGTGGCCATTTGAAAATTTGTCGCTATCATTATCGTGTTGCTGAATTATTGGGTATTGAATGTTATCTGATTTATGCTGAAGCAGCTAAAACGAAAAAAATTATTATTCCATCACCATCACCATCAACATCGACATCGCAACAACGTCACGGCTCTATGATGATGAACATCGACAACAACAACAACAACAACAACCATTTAAAATGGCTATAGATAATGAAAATCAAATACGTTTTCGTTCAATCATATTATCGTATATAATACAGCAGAAAATTTTTCGCGGTACATTACAACCAAATGTTCATTATTATCGTGAAATATTAACCGATTTACGTAATCGTTATCGATCACCATTTTTAGCTGAACGTATTGCAGAAAAATTTACCATCAATAATGATGGTACAACATGTGTACAGAAAAAATCCGATATCTATGGCCATGGTATAATTGAATATTTACTCGAATGTTGTGCAACAACATCACCAACAACCAATGTTGTACCATTCAAAAAATCATTAGCTATGAATAATACGGATGATAGTGATAAACAACAACAACAACAACAGCAGCAGCAACAACAATTGGAACAATCTCGACAACGAGTAGGTAATATTGGTAGATATTTTAAATCCGGTAAAATTATCTATAAAGCATTTGTTGATTTTGATCAACGTATACAATTTCATCCACGACTTATTATACAGCTATGATATGATGATGAGAACATGATTTTGGCAAAGAAACAAAAAAAAAAAAAAAATTGATTTTTAATCAAATTTTTAAATATTTTATATAATCATAATCATCAATATGTAATAATAGATAATAATAATAATATAATAATGATTCAAAATTCAAATCTCAGAGAAATTTTTCAATTCAGATTAAAATTTCAATAATAATAATAATAATAGTAGAGCAATAATAATCTGTATCAATACAAAAATATTTTCTTTGTTTGTTTGTTTGTTTTTTTAGTCGAATAACGTAAAGGTTAGGTTTTTTGTCACGTGTTTGTGTGTAATATTCTATAGCAAAAAAGAAAAACGACAACAATAAAATTATGTCAAATTTTTTTAGATTATAAAATTTGGAACAAAAAAAAATTCTGTTTTTTTTCTCTCACATAAATATATCAAATACTGTCCATGTGATGTGTGTGTGTGTGTGTGTGTAGTGAAAAAGTGGCGTTTTTTTTTCTAGTTTCAAAATTTTTCATGTCATGTGTGTCGGTGTGTGTGTGAAGAACTAGCAATACAAAATAATGAATGATAAAACCTACCTTTTTTTCACATGAAGAAACAAATGAAGTAATAAATTCGAGAGATAAAAAAAAATGAAATCAGATAATTATCGATTGTGTTTGATGAAGCAAAGTTTTGTGTATGTGTGTGTGTGTGTGGTGGAAGAATTATATTTCAATGGTAATGATGATGATGATTGATGATGATGTTGAGATAGAAAAAAAAATGGTAGAAATAATGAAAAAATTTTGAATTTGAATCTAATAACACGAATAAAGAAAAAAATTCTGAAATTCTATGATTTTTGAATTTTTTTTTTTTTTTGGACACGAGGATGATGATGATGATGAGATGATTATTTCAAACAAGCAATGAAAAAAAAAATTCTTTCACTCCACTTAATCCATTCAATAGAGAAAAAATACTGATGATGATGATTCGATTCTTCTTCTTTGTTCGAATACAAACAAAACAAAACAAAAAAATTATCATTCACGACGGAGACGTTTATTACTTGAATTTTGTTGTTGATTTATGATTGTATGATGATTATTTGTGCGTGTTTGTCCACTACCAACAGCAGTCGTTGTTGATGAATTCATCGTTGTCGTCGTCGTCGATACAATATAATCCATTTCGGAAAATTGACCAATAGATTTACCTGAACCGACTATTTGAACAAAATTGGAATTAGATAGATTCGATTCGAAAAAGATAACTTACCTAATAATCGATTACTAGCACCGCCACCAGAACGTTTTCCATGATTAAAAATGTTTACCTGTGATTGTGCAGTCAGTTGTAGCTGTATGGCTGATGTATTCAATTTATCAGCTGTAAGAAGATTTTTAATACCAGAAAATTTTTTACTAACTAAAATGGCAACAATTTTTCCATCATTTTCATCTTGGTTATCAATACAATCCATTTTTTCAATGGATTTTTGTTTCATTTGTTCCGTATGGTTCAATTCACCATTACTGTTATTAATTTCTTGTTTTATCATTACAACAGGTGGTGGCGGTGTTGCCGGTGGTAGTTGTTGTTGACCAATTGATGCTGCACGTCTTCGCCTTCTTTCACGACCACCACCACCACCACCACCACTAGCAACGACAACAATACTTCCACTGATGTTTATATTATGATTTTCTGAATTTTCAATCGAATCATCTTGATGATCACCATCACCGATCATTGATGATTGATTAAATTGATGTTTAACATTCAATGTTGGATCAACTTTAATAATGATTTGAGATCTTGTACGATATGGAAATTTCGATATAGTCGATACAATTGGTTTTGTCCAACCAATATGTAATACAGGTGTCGTTGAATCTTCTTCCCATGCACAAAGACCATCATAAAATCTTAGCAAATGTACAAAACATTCTGGATCATCAATAATGGAATCTATTCGACCATTATCATCATCATTACCAACAGCAGCAGCAGTGGCAACAGAAGTAGAATATTTAACAACATATGGTATGAGATCATTAGATATCTCTTGAAATTCTTTATAAATTTCTTCATCATCACGTGTATAATTATATTTCATTACAACACGTGAAGCATCGGCCCATGCTTGAAATGCTTGTTTAAACTGGCGTTTTCGGAAATAATAACCACCAAGATATGTATATGGATAAACATGATAATCATTATAATACTTTTTTGCTGATTCAATAGCTTCATTAAATAATTCTAATGGATGTTTACGTGCCGTTGTTGAATGTATGGAACAAACATCTTCGATATCACCAAGATTACCTAATGCCATTGGATAACGTTCAAGGTAACCATAATCATATAATATCCAAAGAAGATGTTGTTGAAGAATTGCTAATTCTTCGGAATCTTGTGTTGCATTTATCGATAAATTCATGGCCGATACCAATGTAGCTATTGTTTGAAATCGATCACATATCATTGTATTTCCATTTAAATAAAGCCAACAATTTAATGATTCCATTTGTGATGGTATTGATTGACCACAACGATCATCATTACCACATTTTCCATGCCATGTAACTTCACATGTTTCACCTGTTACAAATATATACTCCATCAATTGAAATCAAAAATCAAAATGACAAAAACTTACCTTGGCCAAATGTAACCCATGCATGATCTTCAGACATAACAAGACGAACATCATCTAGGCCCAATATTTGACATGCAGCCAATACAGTATATGCAACACCATAACAGTCCAATTTATTTTCACTAACATAGCTATAAATTGTTTGTAAATGTGCACGATCTTTATAATGTGATCGATGTAGATTTGACCAGATTAATTCGGAGATCTTTGTTATAAGCTCACGTAAATTATTATTATTATAATTGTTGGTGGTGGCAGTTGGAGTGGTTTTTGAATCATGATTACTGTTGCTGCCACCATTGTCGTCGTTGCAACTATCATCATTATTTGGCTTTTCAATCACCACATCCGTTACACATTTATCGAGATCAATCGATTCTAAATAACAACGAGAAAAAAAAATCAAATTAGCAATTCAAAATTAGTAATCCATCAAAAAAAAAAAAAAATACCGGTCTGTCATCTGTCTCAACACAACTCTCAATCTATCGATCCTTTCTCTCATTTCATTCATTCAACAAACATAACAGATGTCCCACATAAACATAACTGTCGGACAAACGGACATGACAGCTGTTCACACACGCACACAATAGTTTTTCCACTACATTAATTCAACCATGTGTCTGTCTGTGTGTCAATTGGATTCAACAAGTAAATGTAACGGATTTTTTTTTCATTCGTTGAATTCATTTCCGATTATTATTATTATAATATTGATTGATTAACACTTGGAATTGAAAATATGGCTTACCTTTAATGTGTTGTTGAAATTTTTTTAATAAACTTTCAACATTTTCATAATAAACAGTTGGTATTGGTATATCTAATGGTGTATGTATTATATTCGATACAATAGGTACAATTGGTGCAATAGATGCTTCAGCTGGTGAATAGCTACCATGATGATGATGATGATGATCATCATCATTCATTGTTGTTGATGAATTTCGTTCATTACTATCATTTGTCATTGATGGCTGTTGCTGATGTAATTCATGAGAATCGGATAATGTCGTCGTCGTCGAATGTTCATTATTAATCGATGATGAGGATTCCGTATGATCAATATAAAGACCACGTGTAAGTGATGTTTCAATTATACCCAATACAATTGATAATAACGCTAAATCTGGTTCATTCCGATTCGATGATTCATGATGATGATGATGATGATGACGATTACTAATCAAATCTGAATCATCATCATCATTGTCATTACATTGTCCAGGATCTAATTGTGAACGAAATAATTCACAAACAGCACCAATTGTACGTAATGGAAAAAAACTGCGTATAGATCTTGATGAATTTAATGTCGTCGTGGATGATGATGATGATGATAGCGGAAGACTTGCCTGTTGTTGTTGTTGTTCAGATTGTTTCGAATCGATTGATAAATCTGCCTGTTTATTATTATTTTGACGTCGATTCGATCGTCGTCGTTGTTGTTGTTGCTGTTGTCCTGAATGATGATTATCATTATTAATTTTGGTTGTAAGATTCTTAATTATTATTGTATCACTATTTGTTGGTAACGTTGTTTGTGTAGGACATGTTGCCAATGTCGATATGTTCGATGACGGCTGATGTTCCGTTTTTGTTGTTGTCGCTGTCACTGTTGCTGTTGCTGTCGCTATAGCTGCTACTTTTAATGTTCGATTTCGTAAATTCATCGTCGTCGTCGTAATTGGACCGGATGTTACAGGTATATTTTTATTTTCATTCTCATTATTGTTTTTGTTATTTGTTGATAATTTAATATGATTCGTTTGTTGTTGTTTTGTTTGTAAATTTAGTTTATTATTATTATTATGACGTAGGTTTGATGAATGTCCAATCAATGATGATGATGATGATGATGATGAAATGCTTGAATTATTAAAGTGATGATTCGCTGTCGTTCGTCTACTATTTTGTCGATGTCGGCTACCTAAATTTTGCCTTTGATTTCTTTCAACATAACTACCATCACCAGCATCAACATTATTACCACCCATATCATCATCATCATCGACATTATTATTACATTGATGATGATTATGATTACCACCATCAATAACAACGATCGATTTCGTTGATGATGATCTTTTTCTATGTTGTTGTTGTTGTTGTTGATGATGATGATGCTGTTGTTGTTTTTGTTGTCGTTGTTCATTGTATAGAACACCGGCATTATTATTATGGGCTGTCATTCGTTTTTGTTGTTGTTGTTGTTGTCTTGGTCGTTTTGATTTTTTTCTGGATTTATGGTTCAACGAATTATTATTATTATTCGATGAACAATAACAAGATGTTGATGATGATGATGATGATGACAGTTCATGTATGTGATGATTTAATAATTCATCAAATGTTTGCAATCGATTATTATCATAATCATGATGATTCATCAATGCAGATGAATTAAATTTTTCCAAAACATTGTCATTTTTATTGTTATTGTTGGAACATTTATTTATTTCCGTGTTTTGATTCTGTCGTTTTTCTTTAATAGTAGTTGTAGTAGTAGTAGATTCATTGATGATGTTTCCATCATCGCCACCACTACTTTTACCATTAACAAAATTACTCAACGTATTCCTGCTACTGTTGTTGCTGCTGCTCGTTTGTTGATTGAAATTATTCGTGTTTGTGCAGCTGCTGTTGTTGTTGTTGTTGTTGCTGCTGCTATTGCAGCTAGTCCTGGTTTTAGTTTCCAAATTTCCAATTGTGATAGCGGTAGCAGCAGCAGTAGTAGTAGTAGTAGTAGTGGCAGCGGTATAATTCCAGACAGATTCTTGATTTGTATCACAAGAATTTATCTGATGATGATTATGATTATGATTATTGATTATTGAATATTGACAACTAGATGATAACGATGATGAATGATGATTATTTGTGGATTTATAATATTTACCATCGCTGTCATCATCATCATCATGATTTTCGATTGAAGCTTATTGAATAATATCGATGATGATTGAATTTTAGTATTCAAAGGAGTAGTTGTTGTTGTTGTTGCTGTTGTAGTAGTGGTAGATGATATCTTTTCAATATCATTTTGATCATGACAAGTATGATGATGATGATGATGACCATCAATTTGTTGTTCTTTGTTGTTGTTTAGATTATTAAAAGTTGAAATGATGATTTCATCATTCAATGATGAAGTACAAGAAGAAGAAGAAGAATCAGGAATATGCTGTGATGATGATGATGATGATGATAATCTGGTAAAACTATTATGGTGGCATTGATGATGTTGATTTGACGCAATTGCAATCCAGTTTGCTGCTGCTGCTGCTGTTGTTGTTGTTGTTGTTGTATAGGTAGCCATATTAATAAAATAAATTTGAAATTTTCATAATGATGAAGATTCGACTCAATCAATGTTTTACTATAGCTGATTTTGTCTTGGTTTTGGGTTGTTATTTCCATCCGATCAAAGATGTGTGTGTGTGTGTGTCTGTCTGTGTACGTGATGGATTCTTTTACTACTCACCGATTTGATGCATGAGTTGAGAATAAGCGAGGGTATCCACACACACACACAAAATGATTCTTTTCTGGTTTTCTATTTTTAGAAATTTACTTTTCCTGGTGCATCATACCACTACTCATCAGAAACGCAACGAATATACATAATCGTGTGATCAGAAAAAATCGCTATATAATTTTAAGATGATTAAGATGATGATGGTAGCTGAAGCTAAAATGAGGGTAGTAGTTTGTCGGTTTTTTTTCTTGTCTGGCTAGAATGGAATTTCCGGGATTAAATATATGATGAAACAAACAAACAAACCAAAACACGTGATCACATTATAATAATATATGGATTTTCATTTGGATAATTTTTTTTTCACATGATGATAGTAAATGAATGATTATCATAAACAAAAATGTTTTGTTTTGGTTATTTAACCTTTCATGTGTCATGACACAAACACAAACGATGACCAAATAATATCATGTCAAGGTTATCACGGTATTTATATAATATGTCTGTGTGTGTGTATTGTGTATGTTGTGTATTCACATATGAAGACAAAAAAAAAATTGAGACCAACCTCCATTACACACACACAAACAAACACAAATCCCATTGGTTTTGTTTAAATGCTGTTTGCAAATAAATAAAAGTGGTGATGATGATGATGGTTGTAGGGGGTATAAACATCCGGTTGTACCGCCCACATTATTATTTTTTATAATGAAATTGGGAACAACCTTACCTTCTGGTTTGGTACGTTTTTTTCTTTTCAATTGAACGTCCAATATTTGTTGTTGTTGTTGTTGTTATGTAAAACTCGTTTTTTTTCACGTATCGATTTTTTTCATGGTTTGGTTTGAATGTGCTTGTGGTTGGTGTCATATGACCAGAAAACAAAATTCAGTCTGTCAAATTCATGTTTTAATAATGATACGATAATTGAGAATGATGAGAGATTACACTACCATCCTTCGAACAATGATGATGATGATTATATGTGAAATCAAATAATGAAAAGGTGGGTGAGATCAGATGAGAATGGCCTTCAACAAAACAGAAAGGGCAAATGTCAAGGTTAAAACAAATGAAAAAAATTTCAATGTCAAATTTTTTCAATTCCAATGTTTGGTGTGTGTGTGTGTGTGTGTGTGTGCAGATGATGATTTTGAAATCGAATGTTCAAAAAATTATATAAAGATGATGATGATGATGGTCGATTCGATAGATCGATACATCGATGGTGGTGATTCATTTGTGCGAATTCTGAATTCAATCAACAATGATTGTTCTTTTTGGCCATCATCGTCTACGTTATTGTTTTCCAGAAAATAAAAAGAAAAACAAACCTAAAACCAACAACATTTAGACATTTTCGTTGTCAAGGACACAGTCTGTAATACATTTATAGACAAAAAAATGTTGGTCGATTAAACACCAAAACAGACACACATACACGGCAAAAACAGAAAGAAACTGTTGGAATGTCATCATCATGTGACCAAAACAAAAAACAACCATCATCATCATCATCATCATTGGCCTTGAAATAGAAAAAAATGGCCATCTAGTGTGGCCACTGATTCATTCGATCGAGAATATTCTCTATCGAATGAATGACCTGTAGTGGATTTGCACATATCAATGACATGGCAAATTGTAGAAAAAGGAAATTCTCTCGAGAATAATTTTATTTTATTTTTTTTTTATTCAAATCAATCAATCAATTGATTAGGAAAGAAAACATTTTTAATTTGATGACTACAAAAATTTAAAATTTTTCTATTTTTTTTCGAATTTAACACATTCATTCACTTTTTTTTAGCCATCACGGTCTGTTGTTATTTTTTTTTGTGTTCAAACAGCAACCTTTGTAACAATCATATAATATTCATATGATAATAGTGAAAACAACATGACAACATAAAGTGAAACCAAAACTTTATCCTTGGTTCCTTCACGGAAATAGATTGGAATATGTTCATTCATCTATGAAAAATGGAAAAAAATGATTCAGATTAGATTCAGTGGCGCACACATTTCCATCATAAACTGATTGTGTTATATAATATACCTGATACCAGATACGTTTCTTTTGAATATTTTTATATTGCTGCAATTCATACAATGGATTCGTTGGATCTGGACATGCTGGCAATTCAGAATCCGGTATATCTTTCCATGATTTCCAGCCATGTGGATTTGGTTTTGGTGCCGGTGCAGCCGATAATGCTCGAATTGCGGTGTACTATTTAAAAAATTTATTGAAAATCAACAATGTGAAATAACTTTTTAAAAAATCAATCGAATTTTACCTTGAACAATGTCGGATTCATCATCATTGCACGACGAATATAAGCGGTACGAAGTAAATTGGCCATCGTTTTAAATTGGATTATTCAAAAAATTTTCAATCTTTCCAAAAGAAAAAACGATCAGGACAAATATAATCGAATATATCACACAAACACAACAAGACAATAACAACTCGGTCAAACTCACGAAATGAAAAAAAAAACGGTGCCTTCCATATAGGACGTACGACATGTAATAAACGTCACGTGCACGTGTGTTTTAAAAATAAAAATATTTTTCACAAAACGAAAATTATTATTATGGAAAAATCCGATAATCATCAAGATGATGTCATTATTGAAAAAGGTAACGAATTGAATATATAGATTATTGTTGTGAGCTAATAATTGATTATCTAGGTATAGCACCGATCCGAAAAGAATTTCTTATCGAACGTTCGACAAATATTTTCATTGAACAAAAAAATGATATAATCAAAGATGGAGATGATGATGATGATGATGATGACAAATCTGAACATAAACGTAAAATAATTACGGAAAATGATAATGAATCAATTAATCATGATGGTGATGGCGATATCGAAAAGAAACGGAAAAAAAAGATGCGTGGTCAAAATAAACAACGTCGTGGACAGATGCATAAAGCAGTGAAACAATTGGGACAAACCCGACATCGAATATGTCGTGCTTATTTTCGTGATAATAAATGTCCATTCGGTGATGGTTGTACATTTTCACATGATATCGATGCATATCTGGCCGAAAATCCTGACCGTAATGATATCGGTGATCATTGTCCAAATTTCGAACGATTCGGTAAATGTAATGCTGGAATATTTTGTCGTTTTGGTAGTGGCCATCTTCGTGATGGACGTTATAATGTGATCGATGAGGAAAAATTCGAACGTATTAGCCGTGAAGATCGAACGTTGAATTTTCTTACCAAAGATGTACAACTTCAGCTAAGAAAACGAAAATATAATTTTAGTGATGCCAATCAAATAAGTCAACGAATTTGTTCAGTAGATAATGTTCGATTAGCAGAATTGAAAAAAGAATCACGATCATTGCCATTAAAACGAACTATTGATTTTCGTGGCAAACTTTATCTTGCACCATTGACGACTGTTGGAAATTTACCGTTTCGTCGTATTTGTAAAGAATTCGGTGCCGATATTACCTGTGGTGAGATGGCCGTCAGTTCATCGCTTTTAGAAGGTTCCAGTTCAGAATGGGCACTAATTCGTCGCCATTCATCTGAAGATATATTCGGTGTACAATTATGTGGTTCAGGACCAGATCAATTGGCACGTTGTGCCCAGATTATTTGCAATGAATGTGATGTTGATTTTATCGATTTAAATATGGGCTGTCCAATCGATCTGATTTATCGTAAAGGTGCCGGTTGTGCACTTATGGAACGTCGACGTAAATTAGATAACATCATCTACAGTAAGTCATGATGTTTTAAAATTTTTTCAACAAAAAAAAATTGAATAATAATTTCCATCCATCATTCAAACAAAAAGGTGTATCATCAGTTATAAACGTACCGTTTACATTAAAAATGCGAACAGGTGTACATAATGGAAAAAATATAGCAAAAAATCTAATCACCACTGTACGTGAATGGCCACGTAATCGTTTATCAATGATTACATTACATGGTAGATCACGTGAACAACGGTATACAAAATTGGCTGATTGGTCATATATTGGTGAATGTGTAACCGAAGCTCATCATAAACCTGTTGATGATGATAGCAAAGATTATGAACCATTAACTATATTTGGATCAGGTGATATATTATCACAGGAAGAATATTATGAAAAATTAGAACAATACAATGTTGATGGTATTATGATTGGACGTGGTGCATTGATTAAACCATGGATATTTACGGAAATTAAAGAACGTCGTGTTTGGGATATACGTTCAACGGAACGTTTAGACATTCTACGTCGTTTTGTTAATCATGGTCTAGCCAATTGGGGTTCCGATAGAGAAGGTGTGGAAAAAACACGTTGGTTCCTATTGGAATGGCTTTCATTTCTACATCGTTATATACCGGTTGGTTTATTGGAACGATTACCACAACATATTAATGATCGTCCACCTAGATATCATGGACGTGATGATCTCGAAACAATGATGGCATCATCATCTTGTAGTGATTGGATCAACATCACTGAAATGCTTCTTGGCCCAGTGGATGATGGTTTTACATTCATTCCTAAACATAAAGCATCTTCTTATTGAATTTTATTTAAATTTTTTTTTTAAATTCTAAATTAAATTAATTAAATTTTTTTTGACAAAGATTTTGGTTTCATTCAACAAAAGGTGGTAAACCAAATTGTTCGGGTTTAAATTCTTGTAATGATTTCAATACTAACGATGATTGGACAGAATTTTTTGGCATACGTGGATCCGGTACCCAAACAGATTGCATACCGGCTGCATTTGCAGCCTGAATACCGGCAACTGAATCTTCAAATACCAGAACATTTGACATTTGTGATTCCGAAACTGGTGGCTGAAATCGTCGTGCACAAACTAGAAATGTTTGTGGATCTGGTTTACCACGTACTATTTCTGCATCATTCGATGCAATTAATATGTGATGAAATAACTGGAATAATTCCGGATGATGTTTAGTTTTCAAATCGAATGCAAATGCTTTTGAACTTGTTGCTACAGCTATTGGTATTCCATGGTTGTGTAAATGACGAATCAATCGTTCAGCGCCAGGCATCAGTGGAACAAATTCGGTGAAAACTTTTCGATATTCTTCATCCACCAAACGAGAATATTCATCAACAGTCAATGGCAATTTAAGTTCATCGATAATAATTTGTGATCCTTCTGGACCGATACGGCCCATAGTTTTCACTATATGAAAAAAAACCATTACAAAATGAATGACAAATTCTATCATGTGTGAAAACTTACTTTTCACTTCAAATGGATATTCATGACCATAACGTTTCGTTACCGAATTGATGGCTTTTTCATACAACGTTTCCGTATCTATCGTTGAAATCAATGAATATAGAATAATTTAACGAGAGAGAAAACAACGAAAAAAATTTTTTTTTTTATTACCCAAAATCAAACCATCCATATCAAAGATAACATGTGTGATGGTTTTCTGTGGTTGTAACGGTGTTACCGATGATGTTGATGATGATGATGACATTGTCTTCACTTGAATGATAATTGATTAAAACAACAACGACAAAAACAAAAATTCAAATTGGAAAAAAATCGAATCTTTTTTTTTTACAAAAATATACAAAAATGATCTTGATGGATAAATGAAAAAATCACAAATGACAACAACAACAACAAAAAAAAAATCGAATCAAAATACAATAATTGATTTAGAGAAAATGTTATAAAATATCTGGGATATGGATCGATTCCGGTTCATTTGTTTGTTGGCTTTTTATTTTTAATTCGAACACAAACACGTCAATCTTGTCCTTGGATGCATGCTGTTTACACACACACACACACACACACACAGGGTGCCATCAATGAATAATGTTACCAAATGTGTTCTGATGTAATTCGATTGTAATTCTTTTTTTTGTTTGTTTGATGAATTTTTCATTTCTCATCATCTGTTTTGGTTCCAACAACAATGGTATCATTATCATTGGTATTCATATCATTCAAACCAAATTCTTCATTCTGTTCCCAGCTACGTTCATAATATTCAACATTAACATTATCGGCTTGTTCAACGAAACTATTTCCACATGGATCATCCAATATGATTGTCATGTCTAACATATCCGATAGACGTGTTTTTAATCTATCAATTTTTTGACGGATTTCTTCACGCGATGAATCACCATCAATGAATGGATTTGTTTTTCGTAGATCATCGATCATATTCATACCTAATCCTTGTACGGTTGTATAACGTCCAGAACCAGATGAATGAAGTGTCAATGATAATTCCGGTATCGATATATTACATGTATCGGAACGTATAACTTCTTTTTTCAAATCATTTTCATTACGAATTTTCATGGTAATACGTACACCATGAGATCCGATACCAGTACCGGATTTAACCTCATTAGTACGGCTACCACATATTTCACAATTGGTGGCCATTATAATTATTTCTTTGAAATGTGGTATTTTCGTCAATTTCATGTTCGTAAAACATGGTGCATTACAATTTGGACAATTTGTTTGAAATTGTAAAACTTCATCTTTAAGATTATCGGCTGTTCCGTCGTCATCGATATTATTTTCATAGATTCCAAGTAATTTATCCTCGTCGATTGTTCGTATAAAATTCGTTACTTTTAATCGTGGATCTGGTTCAGGTGCAAGGAAATTTTCAATAAAACTATTGCCACTTATATCTTCAATAATCAACGTGAATGGTTCACGTGTTTCTTGTAGACCGTGCATTCGTTCGATAAAATCCACCATAGCGTTTCGTTGATCATTATCGATTTGTTCATTATGTTCAAGGGAATATTTCAAACCAGTAATGGCACGTTCTAAGATTCCTTCAACAGTTGTAATCAAACCATTTTGTTGTTTAATTTCAAAATCCAATTCTGGAATTTTCACTCGTGACCATTCGGTTTTTATCAATTGTCGGCTAAGATCTTTCACGTCCATTACCATCAATTCAAAACGGACACCTTTTTCGGCTATTTTTGCAGCTGGTTGTAGTTCATTATTACGATAATTACAATGTAAACATTCGAATGACATGACAACTACTTGATGAAAAAATGGAATATCTGTCAACAGCATACGTGTAGTACCATCTTTGCCACAATTGACACAATAACAATTTTCAATTTCAGTCATATCGTCATTCGGTTCATCGGCTATTTCACGAAGATCGTTGAATAATTTTTCCGTCATGTTTTTTTTTTTTTTTGTTGGTCAAATGTACTTAAAAGTTGATAGAAAAACAAAAATCATTCGTCGAATTTAAAACAAAAAAAACACATGCATGCAACATGCAACATCATCATCATCACTATCATCGATTGTGATGAACGACTATTTTTGATATTTTTTTTCAAAATTTTCAAATTCGCGCTTCATCATCAAATCATGAATCATCATTACACATTGGATGATGATTCGTGTAAAAATTTCAATTAAAAATTGCAATCACAAAACGTGAAATCCAGTGAAATGTTCATTTTGTTTTGTTTTATTATTCAACACAGCAGGTGGTGATGGTAGCCATTTAATTAATAAAACAAATCAATAATGCTCAAATCGAATCAAGATATTCTATTTGCGCACATTATTCTATCATCATCATCATCAAAATTTTCTGACCTTTTTCGTTTGTTTATTTTTGATCTTGATTTTGACATTTTTTTAATTTAATTTTTTCATTTCATTTCATGGCCATCACTGAATTTCTTCATTCTTCACATCACATGTCTACTTTGTCTTTATTCTTCTCTTTCGATTATCTTGTTTTGATGTGTATCTCTGTGGAATAAAAAAAAAATGCTTGATGTCTGTGTGTTTCATATATAATTACCATGTCTGAAATGTTGTCAAAGATTACAAATGGTATAATCTAACAACAGAAGAAACAATGATGATGATTATTTTTTTTTGTTCACTAATCTCTAGTCACGATAATGTCGATGAATGATGCTCTAAATCCAATCAAAAATGCAATAACAACAGCAATCACGATGTTCTAGAAAAACAAAACAAAAAAAAAACAGAAAAAAATTTGAATAATAACAAAAAATAAATGTTGAAAATTCAAAGTGATGAAATCGTTGCCGTAGTGTTATTTTTTTTTTTGCCAAACTTTTAAATTGTTTTTCTTGTTGTTTTTGAAAAAATTAATGACGATAAAAACCGAGATCAATAACCGGCCAAAAAAAGGATTGATTCCATTACCATCTTGTAATGTCAATGATTTCTAATAATAATCTTGTCATTCGAGTTTTTTTTTTTGCACGGTATGCGGATATTAGTGTTATTTTTCTTCTTGATGAAACTTTTATATACTTGATTTTTAATATAATCCTTTTATTACGGTTGTTGGGTTAATGGATGGCGTTTTCAATGTTTTCATTGCCATCATCATCATACGATTGCTGATGACGTTGTTGTTGTCGTTTTCTTTTTTTTTTTCTTTCTGATGATAATTTCGAATGGAATTTCAAAAGTGATCTTTATCTTGTTGTTATTGAATTCATCATTGGATGATGATTTTTTTTGATAGAAAAAAAATTTAAAAAACAGTTGTGACCACTGTCCACATTTCACAAATCATCACGAGAAATACAAAAAAAAAAATTGAACAAATCTTCAAGATTTTTTTTTAAAATTCTTTTCTTTCTAGAATCAAATTTGATCAATATTAATTCGATGATCATAAAATTGGACAACAATGGCAGTTCGTTCGTATGAATAAATAACGGTGAGAAATAGGCCCCAAAAAAGTTCAACGACAGGATAGCCACCCGAATCGATCATATTGAGGTTTTTTCCCCCTCCCCGTCTGACTGAAATTTGAATTTTTTGCTTTTTGATCGTCTTCTTCAATTGTGATGCAAATAAATTCATGTTCCAAAATGATAATGATGATGATGGTGCGAAATTTTTTTTTTATGACATCAAAACAAAAGACGATTTATGCCATGCCATTCCATTGATCATCATCATCGATCATCGAAAAAAAAACTTGTTGTTCGTTCCAAACGACGTCGTTGATGTTTGGAACAAAACAGGTAAACAAAAGAAAAAAATTTTTTTTTCTTTTTTTTCGATCAATCGTACAAATGATGGCCATCATTTGTGATCATCAAAAAAAAAAAAAACATACACACACAGACAAACAAAGATCATGAACGAAGTCATCGACGATGGCCATATCGAATGTTTGTATTATTATTTTAAATATCGTATACGATATAATCGATAATAAATATATGAAAAAAAAACAATCGATATATCGAACAATCATAATTCCTTCCTCTTACTGTTTGTCTGTGTGTGTGTGTGTGTGTGTTCGATGCTTCTTCATCATCATATTCATCATCAGAGAAAATTTTTTCATGCATTTTATCATCGGTTATCATCATCGAATCATGAATCAATCAATCAATTATGAGGAAAAAAAATTGAATTTTCTTTTTCTTTTTTTTTTGAATCATGTTTTATCAGATCTTTCATCGAATGACGTCGAATAACTACCATCCATTCCATTCCATTCCATTTCTTCTTCTTTCATTCATCCCTATGGTCTTTAGCTGCTGTTCGTTTTATCATTCACTATGTATGATGGTGGTGGTGAGCTTCATCATCAGTTATCGTCATCGTCTCTCAATTTTTATTTTCTTTCAACAACAACAACAACAACAACAACAAAAACAAGTAAAGCAATGAATACACTATTAATACAGATTGAGATTTTTTTCTTTTCATTTCATTTCAAGTATCGTCGTCAAGTATATTGGATCGAGTATATCAATCGAACAAACGAGAATGGAATGAAATGAATGAAATCATCAGATTTTTTTTTCTTCTTCTTCTTCTTTGCAAACATTCAATGAATGCAATATGCACAAATTTGGACATCTAATTTAACAAACAAAAAAAAACTAATTGTGAAATAGATTCGACGACGATGATGACAACGAAAAAATGCATCCAATAAGTTTCACCATACAACATCTTTGAATGGATAAAAAAAAAGTGATTCGAATTCGAATCAATTGATTGTGTGTGTGTGCATTCCATAAACAAGTGAATGATTTTGGTGGTGTCGATTTTTATGTTTTATCAATTTTCATCATCAATAGTAGTGTTGATGATGATAATCAAAGTGGTGGTGGTGGTGGTGGTGGTAGTCCATCCATCTTAATTGTTTATAACTGGTGATAATGATCATCATGATGATTGATGATGATGTTGACCATGTGTACTGAATCAACAACAAATGAATGAGGTGAAACCCTTATTTTTTTTCTCGGTTTGTTAGAAACAAAACAAAACAAAACAAAAAAACGATTGATAATTATCATCATCAACATCAACATAATTATTATTATTATAATTATCATAATCAGAAATTTGAAAATTATACAGCAAAATACTACCACCATCACCACTACATTATACATTTTTTTTCCTTCCTTATTCTTTAAATTCATTTGATGCAATCATCACAAATTAAAATAATCAAAAAAAGAATTTTTTTTTGCTTTTTCAAGTTTCAAAAACAATTTTTGTTTTCCAGTTTCAACACGTTTTCATCGAAGGTATGCATTGAACATTTATCGTCATTATAAATCATATAATAAAAAACGACAAACAACAACAGGTGACCAGTAATTAATTGTGTGTGTGCATGTGTGTATGTGTACGTGACTGTATATTGTGTCATAATAAAAATTTGAAGAAAAAAAATTTTTTTCGAATGGAAAAATCATCATCACCATACTGGTCATTGGGTCAAAAACCGTTTTCATTTTTTCATTTTTCATTTGTTTGTTTTGTTTATTTGATCGGTTGTTGAAATAGTCGACTTATCGATTATTTTATGATGATGATGATGATTTTATGACATTTTTCCGTTGTGTTTGTTATATATAAACAAAAAAAAAAAAAAAGAAACCATTAATCAGATCAATGACCCAGTAATTTGAACACACAATTGATTAATTTTTTTTTATTCAGTGGAATTGATTTTTTTAATTGAAAATTCCCAAAAAAATCATGTCATCAAAATCACCATCATCATCATTAGTCATAATCATTGTATTATTGACCATGATTCTAATTCCAAATGATCTCATTATTGTTATGGCTATGAATACAACAACAAATATGACGACGACGACCACGACCACGACTATGACTACGACAGCAGCGATCGATTCGAATATCATCAATGATCATAATGATGATCATCATGGTATGTTTCATTCGGGAATATTCATGATTGGAATTTAATAATTTTTTTTATTCAATCATCATCAGAGATTATTATTGTCGATGATGCTGATATTGATGATAATGATGTATCAATAACAAATCGTTCAAATACATTCTATTCATTGGCAGCGGCTGGACCATCAGAAAGATCATCATCAGTTGATAATAATCTAACAATAATCGATGATGATACAATTGTCGATGATTTTTGGGATTCGCCAAGTACACATCCAATAGTATCGTCATCATCAGTGAATTCATCAACGACTAATGTTACATCGACAAGGAATAGTGGTTCATCGTCATCGTCATCATCACCATCACCATCACCATCACCATCACCATCACCATTTTCGACAATGGCTGCAAGTACTTTATCATCGACACGTTCAACAACACCATTTTTACCACCAATGCCTTCGGTATTAACATGGTCATCATTATCATCATCAACATTACCGCCACCATTTACAAATATACAACGTACATCACCATTTACAAATAAACCATTTATAATGTCCAGTGGTGGTGGTGTTGGTGGTAATCATGAATCGAATCGAAATGACAATGGTGATGCATCATTTAGTGAATTAGCATCAAAAATATGGAAAATCATTTTGCATGGTACAAACATGAATTCCGAAGAATTACGTATGTGTAATCGGACATTGATACAACAACATTTTAAACAATCAAGTCGTCGTAAAGTAGCTAGAAATATGAAAAAAGATTTGGAAAAAATATTCAATGAATGGAATTATCGTTTCAGTATAATAGTAAGTTCAACATCACGAAATACAATGGGAAAAGCATTGCATGGTGTTTGGATGTCCATTTCGATAAATGGTGTACATTATTTCATCACTGCTACGCATAAACTAGTGGATGGACCTAAAATTAAAGAAGAACAAATGGAAAAAATTGAATATTGGGCCCATGTACATGCAATCGCTGCACGTAATATGACCGGTTATCGTCGCTATAATCGTATTGCATCGAAATTAAAATTTGATTTGGATCGTTTTTATGGCCATGGTAATTCATGGTCAGTAATAATCGTAAAAAATCCATTACTTGTAAAAGCAAAAATATTAGAAGATCCTGAATATCATATAGAATTTTCACGTTTAAATGGTGGTCATTTTATTGTGTTTCGTGGTGGTCAACCAATCGAAAATGTTGATGGTGGTGGTCGTCGTAATGGACGTGTAGATCAATCAATACCACCAGATGAACCAGAATCTGATGATCATACATTAGAAATGGATACTGAACATGAAGATTATCGTAACAATATCTATCTTATGATGACATAATAATCATCAGCTAGTTTCGTCGTTATTTTGTTCATCGAAAAAAAAAAAAAATTTTTGTAACATAACATATCTCTACACTCTATCATTCATATCAAGGCTCTAATTTTCCTTCGTTCATTTCTTATTTCATCATCATCACATTATTTTGAATTTGCAACAACAACAACAACAACAAAAATCGATCGAAAAAAAAATTTCGTAAACATGATTTTTGTTGTTTTTGTTTGTTTTGAAAATGGATTTTCATTTTCATTTTTTTTTTGTCAATTTGTAATTGTAAAAAAAAAAATAAAAAAATTTCAATCATCACCATTTTTTTTTTGCGAAAAAGAATGTGCATATATATATGGATTACAATCATTTGTACATTTAAATTAATTTTTTTTTTTAAGATGACGATGATGATTATGGTGATGATGATGATGATGTTCAAGGTTAATCGATTGATTGATCTTGTGTGTGTATGCGTGCTATCCAATAATAACAAATGATGATGATTTACACACACACACGCATACACAAAAAATTGATTGCAATTAATGGCAACAAAATTATTTCTTTCTTTGATTTGATTTCTTTAGCTGAGAAATATTGGATTTTTCTTTTCTTTTTTCTCTCATAAATCAATGAATGAGAATGGATTAGAAATTTTGACACCATATTAAAACGGTAATAATAATAAACCACTTGATGTTTCCAAATGTTTCCAAAAATTTTTTATAAATGAACAGGTCGATAATTGGGATTGGGATTGGTATTCCGGCAATCGGTTATCGATGATGATTGTCGGTTGATGGTTGCCATTAGTATTGAGTCAAAAAATTTTTTTTTTTTGTTCTCTGAGGATTAAAAACAAAAGAAAAAAAAAACATTTTTCTTGCCAATAATAATCCTCAATTAAAATTTTTTTTTTTGTTTCAGATCCACTATTAAGCACCGAGAACAAGACAGATGTTTGTTTGTTTGTTATGTGTTTGTGTTTGTGACTTTGTGATTCTGAAATTGAAACATTCACAACATTCATGACGTTTGTGAATACACAACATCAAAAAAAAAAAAAAAAAAATTTATCGATTGATTGATTGATTGATATTCATTGACGTAATTGAATGACGAAAATATTGTTGTGTTGATGCTGTTGCTTTTGGAACACTGTAAAAACGATGACAATTTATATGACTCAGCAGCAGCAACAATCCAATGTCAATGTCAATGATAATTCAATACAAATGAAGACAAATAGAATGTTGGTCAAAGCAGAAGTACATCATCATCATCATTCAAATGGTGATTTAAATCAACAACAACAACAATCATTTCCAATATCATGGTTTGAATTTGATGATGATGATGATGATGGTGATGGAGAATTTAAAACGGATCCATCATATTTACTACGAATGAGCGATGTAAGTGATGATGATGATGATGATGATGACGATCTTGTAATAGAATTTTTTTTGTTTCATTTTGTAAATTAAAAATCCAAAAATATTAGAATCAATCCATGATGAGTGTGGATACAAGTTGTTCATCAATCATTGATTATAATGATGATGAAAATTTGTTGATTGAAGATAAAGTATTGAATAAATTGGATAATATTTTAATGAATGCCGCCATTAATAATGATGATGGAATGGATCGATGTTCAAATTTCAAAAATGATGATGACGACAATGATAATAATTCAATTAAAGATGACGATGATGATGACGATGGTGATACGTTTTCATGTTGTAGTAAATCATCGATACTTTGTAGTCCAGCCAATTATCAATTATTAAAAATCGATAATGGTGACAATAATGATGATCAACAACAAAATGATGTGGACACAACGGCAATTGATAATGATCATGCACAAATTATTTGTACAACAACAACAACAACAACAACAATGAATAAAGGAAATTTTCTCAGAAAAATCGAACGTTTTGGTACTGATGTTTGTGATACATGTCTTTTTCCATTAGCATTACCAATGGATGGTAGTGATATTTATCGTGGTCATTCAACATGGGAAAGTATTGATTTATTGGCTGATTGTGTCCTAATGTTATGGACCGAATCATCATCATCATCATCAACAACAACAACAACAACAACAAATCAACGATCTCTGAACAATGTTCTTGGTGATCCAATACGATTTCTTTGTTTTCATTCTGAACTTATGGATGGTCGGAAATTTCCTTATGTAAAATCAAATATTGGACGGAAATATGATCCATTACCATTTCGTCGTTGGTGTTCAGAGCTTGATTTACGCGGAATGATGGCCAACAATGATAATCAACAACAGTCTGAATCGGCATCATCATCAGTAATGGTCGAAACAGAAGATGCAGATATGATATTGGAAAATTTTCGACGAAAATCACTAACCATTTGTCGACAATTTGCATATAAACAAGAGCTACAGAATCCAAAACGTTTAGCAGCACGTATAACACGATTAGAACGACAGAATTTTTTACAATTAACACGACGTGAAGTATTGAATTATTTATTCGGGAAAATTCCCAGTAATAATCAGAATCTACATCAAATGATTCGATTTGCTCGAGAATTATCTCAACTGGTTGGCTGTTGGATACTAACGGAAACATCTGTGGAAGGACAAAAACAAACAATTGCAACCATTATTGAGGTAAAGATTGACTCTTGATTATCAATTAATCGGATTATCCGATTATTTCATTTCTTATTCATAGGTTTCCTTCATATTATTTATGAGAAAAAATTTTCAATCATTCGAATCAATAATGCGTGGTTTACGTTTACCATCAATATATTCATTACAAGAATCATGGCGTTCATTACGTCTTAATAATCCTATTCATTTTAGGTATGTGTGTGTGTGTGTGTGTATGATTTATTTGCATATTCATCAACCTTTTTTCTTTTGTCAATAGAATTTATCACTACCTCACAACAGTAATTACTAATCAATTACAACAGAAATCATCATTGATATGTCATTCATCTAAATCATCATCATCATCATCATCATTATCATTACCATCATTGGCTTCGTTTTTTGAAACACTAAGATTACGATCATTATCGATTATTTGTCGTTTAATTGATGAAGATGATGATAATGATAAAAATGGTGACCATCATCATCATCATCATATCAATGTAAGAAATATAGGAAATCAATCATTGATTGATATTATCAATGAATATCAATATAAAGATGTTCATATACGACAGAAATTGAATGAATTAACTGCAAATGAACGGCAACGACGACTACGACGGCAACGAAAACAAATGGCCAAAATGGTGAAAAAAACCGAAACAACAATGACAACAAAAAAACGATTTTGGCCATTTCCCGTGATGATGAGGAAACGTAAAATAAAACAACAAAAAGAAATGATAATCAACAATGATGATGATGATGATGATGTAACTATTGCAGCATCGTATATGTCATTATTAACAAAAAAATTTGATCCATCATCCATAAACAAAGGCGGTGGTTTTCCACATCATCAGCAAAATGATGATTGTTTACGATCATTACGGATGTATATTGAACAACAATTTATCGTTGCACGTGATCATCAACCATTAATGCCTGATCGTTGGCGTATCATATCCATACGGAATATTGGTACAAACATCCATCGTTTATTGATCATAGAATTTTTGAAATTATATAAACATTTTATGGAACAAATTGAACAATATAGATTTTAGAAAAAAAAATTTGAAACAAAAATTCTATAAACTTTTGTTTGCGATGATAAAAATTCAACAATCCGATGATTGAGCTTTACGATTTTGGAAAAATTTTCGAACACAATGAACATAATGTATGAAACGTCGTGGTAGATTATCATCATCATCTGCCATATTGATTAATGAGAAATTTTTACCCGTTATCATTGTTGTTGTTGTTGTTGTTGTTGTTTCATTATTCATCATCATCCATTCATTGTTGTTGTTGTTGCTGTTGGCCAATAATGATCCGAAAACCTTCATTGGATCTTCTTGACGCAAACGATTATAGAATTGTAAGAGTAATGTACGATTTTTGAAAAAAAGATAATAATCACGACGGCTAATGTTGTTGTTGTTGTTGTTGTTTTTGTTGTTGTTATTGGTTGATTGATTCAATTTCGGTCGATACAGATAGACTAGCCCGATTGGTTGTAGATATTGTTTAAATAAACGACAACCATCATCATCCTGGATCATCATACATTTGGCGATTGGATCCGGTATCGAATTCATTATGATTGTACGTTTTGCCACTAATGATCGTAGTCCATGCAATCGTTGCTGTTGCTTCAACGTTTTTAATCCATTATTTTCATTTTTAATCACCATCTGACCAAATTTTCGATTAATCATTGATTTTTTTTGCCGCCGTTTCATTCGTAATTTATTCTTGTATCGTATATAATCACGATATGGTACGATACGGATATCATTATCGAATGATTGGATTTTCTCTTGTAACACTTGAATATAATCACCATTCTTTAACACTGTGTAATGATAAAAATTGAGATTAAAATTTCTAAAAAATAGTAAAAAAAAACCTACCAATCAATGCACTACGAATAGAATTTCCATTTTCTTTACTACGTTTACAAACATTGATACCATATAGACCATTTTCACCATTATCGAATAAATTGGAAATCCATTTGATTAGATCGACCATTGTAGCCGATACAGTGGATGGCAAACGTGAAACATGTACAATTGAATCCATCATTGATTTCATATAACCACTTTTATCATAAACAAATGCATTGATACGTTGAAATGATTGTTTTTCAGCAATGAATCGAACATTTTCAAATTGATATTGTTTGAATACGTCGATTAAATTATTGATGGATTCATTCTCTAATAATTGATTGATCAAATTGAATTTGAGCAATATGTCCACGGGAACCACTAATAAATGGAAAACATTAAAATTCATTAAAGCTATTGGGAAACTTACGAGAATTTTCCGTAGTAATAAACGAACGCATATAACGATCATGATGAAGATTGAAATCGGAAAAATAAAAATCAATTTGGCTACAAATTTTTTCCATCATCATTATCATTAAACACGATTTAATGTTCATCACAATCAGACCAACCAAACCAGAATGAATTTCAATGATGATTGAGTTTAGCTAGAAAGCCAAAAAAAAGTTTTTTTTCCATCAAATCATAATTGACTCATCATCATCATCATCGATAAACATTCAAATTCGAATTTAGGAAAAACAAAAATCATCCCCACCAACGCCATCTATTTAATTTCGTTTGAAATTATTTCTGTCGAATTCGATTTTCGATTTTCGATTCGATTTTCGTCGTCATCGTCGTCGTCGTTTGTTCGTTTGTTCATTCATTTTGGTACATAAAAACGAAATGTTAAATCATTCAATTTTCAGTATTTCCTTGATTAATTTCTGATTTTCTATTTTTTGTTTTTCCATTTCTAATTTCATTTTTTTCCTGTTCCATATTTAGTTTCATCGTTTCATCATTATTATATTTCTGGTTTACGAATTTTACGAATTTCGATTTTTTTTTCATTTATTTATAATTTGAATAATAATAAATAAATAATGCCATATTCAAAACCGATATCGAAACAGCAATTATTATTGCCTGAACGTAAAAATTTCATACGATTATCATCGATTTGTCAAAAGAATATTCTCGAACGTTTATCTGTGGATAATCTTATTCGTTATATTTATTATATTATTAGTGGTGATCCTTATATTGATGGTGATGAAAATAATCGTATATCGAGTGGTAATGATTTTCGATTCACTCCTGAAGGTCATTATCTAGTTGAACAGATTGCCGATGATCATCATCATCATCATTCTCAATTTATTGGTGGTGGTGGTGGTCATAAACGTTTTGCATCATCACCATCATCAATGGGATTCTATCCATTCAATGATGGTTCTTCGAATCGTATTAATGATGACGATTCATATGTATTGGATTGGATTGCTAAACATGCACAACCTCAACAACAGCAACAATTGCCAATGCCTTCGATGGTGATGATGATGACAGAAAACGATCGTTCTTTGATTAATAATGATGGCTCGTTTAGTTTTTGGAAAAATTTGGAAAATTCATCACGTAACAACGGATTGAACAACAACAACAACAATCAGCTAAACATTTTATATCCGGCTTTTTCAACCAATAACAACAACAACAACAACATTAATAATCGGCCTGATCAAATGGAAGTAATCAATCTAGATCCATCGCCACATTCATCGTCATCATCAGCATCAACATCATCGACATTGTCAACTTCGAATAGTCAACAACAAAAACAACAAGCATTTCCATTGATGGAACCATCAACATCATCATCTCAACAAAAAATACCATGGTACTATCAAATGGAAAATCAACAACAACATCAAATGATCAATTTGGAACAAAAAGATACACAATTATTTAATGCATTTCGTTTACCATTACCATCTGTATTTAATCGTATGCCAATAGAAAATCGAAATCATTTACTATCAACATTACCAAGTCAGGTGAAGAATAAATATGAATTTTATTGCTGGTCATCAACAACAACAAATCCATTTATCAATGGTGGTGGTGATGGTGGTAATGGAATCATTCATTCATCAATGGCCAACTAATGATGATGATAAGATGGAAACATTTTCGAATGTTTATGATGATGATTATTTTATTTCCTGATTTTTTTTCAAATTATGTTCAAAATTTTTTTTTTTATTTCATGAATTCTTGCAACAAAAAAATGTGAATGTTTAAATTTAATATAAAATTTAGGAAATTAATTAAAAAAAAAAAAAATTTTTTGACAAAAAAAAATTTCCAGAAAAAAATTGAGCAAAAAAAAAAATCCTCGAAAATCGTCATCAAACATTTTTCTGGATGATTCGCGAATTTGAGAAAATACCACCACCGGCAATAGTGAAAAGTGGATTCTGGTGTTTGTTTATTTGTTTTTTTTCATTTGGAACATTGACATAAAAATTTATTATCATAACATTCATTTGTTAACAATTGATTCATATCAACATTATTCGGTGTAAATGATGAATGGCCAACCAATGCTGGTAATGCAAAACAACTGCAGCCAACGAATTTTAAATTATTTTTTGTACAATATGTTGCACAAAGTACAAAATCACAATCATAACATTCACAAAAACGATTCATACGAAATACGGAATTTTTTTTTACATTACATTCAGAACGATTATAACCATAACCAGAACAAAATGTTGAACATTCTGAATTCAATGCACAACGTTGAAATGGTATCATCATTACCGCTGTTGTTGTTGTTGTTGTTATCATCGATCAATCCATTAATCAGGTGAGTTTAGTTTTGTATTAAATTTAAAATTAAATTTTTTTTTGTTTTATTTCTTTGGTTTTTTAAATTCACTTACCATTCATACAAATATAGATGATGATCCAAATGAAAATCGATATGAAAAGAATTTTCATCATTTTCGATCGAACAAAAAAAATCAAATCCTGTTATCTTTTTGAATCGTATCAGAAAACTATTTTTGTACAATCATTATCAAAATCGAATCGAACAATTGATGGTCATTTTATCGATATCGTCAATCTTTTCTGGGCTGTGGTTTTTATATATATTGGCCAGAGAAACTAAAAAAAAATCAATAGATTTCAATTTTATGATATGGGCTGTGGTTTTCGAATCAAAAAAAAAAAAAAAAAAAAAAATTTTTCTATTGGCAAACATCCTATATTTACATATGGCCGTGAATGTTATTTACATCGTCGTCATCGGTGAAAAAAAAATTTTTTTTTTTTTTTTTTTGAAAAAATACAACGCCCCGTTGGGACGACCGTATACATATATTGATCTAAACGTAATTATAATCAAATCAATTTCACATTTTTATGATGATTTGAATTTATTCGATCACAAGATCATCCAAAAATTCCGGCTACCAATGGATCCCGTGGGCATATATATATAGCAGCCCATTCATAAATGAATACACATCAAGCCATCAAATTCACAATCCATTCGAATTTTTTTCTTGTCCTATTTTTAGCACTGACCCCGGTTGCCAGAAAATGGTAAATACCAGAAAAAAAAGAAAAAATCTCCAATTGCCTGATCGGCACTAATATTTGATTCAGGTATACTACATATTACATTCTCTAATGTTTTACATTATTAATCATGACATTTTTTTTTTCTTGCTACAAAACAACGGTCTTCGTTTTTTAGTTTATTTTCAAATTTAATTTAAAAAAAAAATTGCAATGGAAAATGATGTTTCTATAGACATCTTTACACACAACAACACACACACATCCAATTATAACGATAAACGACGAACCCAACAACCCAGCAAACATTCTGTATGTTATATATGAAAAATTTTCTTTTATTTATGAAAAAATTTGTTTTCATTCAACAGATCCGGTTATTTTTATATACAATTTGCATTGCATTTTCTGGTATGTTTTCGGATCAAAAAAAAAAAAACAAAATCGAATCGAAATGAAATGAAATGAAACGAAACCAAATGAAATGAAACGAAACGAAACGAAACATGAAATGCAAACCAAGATTAACGCATAGCCAATGAAAACTCAATTTTATGGTGTATAATAACCAACAACAACAACAACAACAACGAATACACAATAACAATTCCTCTATATGAAATTCACCAAAGAAGAAAAAAATCCCTTTTGTATGTGTTTTGGGTTATATATATAGCCCTAACTATAAATGTATGATATCCAACAATATTGATCCATAGTTTTCCATTAGTGTTTAGTTAGATGGATCTCTGTCCCGGCATTATATTATTTTTATTCCATTCGATCAGACAAACGAAAAAAGGCAGCCAATCTAGAACCACACACACACACACACTAAATGTATATCCTCTCAATGTCATATTATGAAAAAAAATCATCGTCATCGTTCCTTCTTCCTTCGCCAGCAGCAATGAAAAAAAAGAAGAAGAAGAAAGCAATAGCATACATTAATGTAAAGAAGAAAATGTTTCACACAACCAGAATGTGATGGTACTGAAAAAAGCTCGGAAACTCTCCTTCCCCAGTATCATCATCATCATCATCACCACCATCATCATCATCGTCTTCTGTTTTTGGAACGTCGTCAATTTTATGTTCCAAATTGTGTTGCTATTTAGATCTAAACATATATAATACACACATTCATATTGTTCTGGTTTGTGTGTATGTGTATGTGTATGTGTTCTATTCATTCTATTTTTTAAACATTTAATTCTGGAACTCATCATCATCATCCCATTGGCCCATTATTTTATTATATATTTTGTCTGTGTGCGTGTGTGTGTGCATTTAGTGTTTTTATCTTTTTTTTTTTTTCTTTATGCCCGAACCAAAGTCATGAGACTATCATACACAAGTTCTATTTATTATTGTTGAATTGAAGAATTTACATGAAGAACACGCACACTATCTAAATTGATCAATGAAAAATGAATTGAATGAAATTCTTGTTGAAACATTGAAACAATATTTAGAATGCAAATACACATTTAGCGTGTTCATCATCATCATCATCGTTTTCTGCATCTGATAAAGTTCAAGTTTTTTTTCACACGAAGATATGTGTATGCATATAGAAAACATCATCAAGTACCCTTATAATATCAATGAGTCGTAAAATGATTGTCGAAAGAAACAAAATTTTGAACACATTTATATATATTGTATTGAAAATCAATATGAATTGTGAACAACGAACAACAACAACAACCGATTTCATCATTTCAACATACAAATATTGATTCTGCCTATCTTCATCATCATCCATACAATCAGAATGAATTCTTAGAATCATTTCTCACTAGAGACAATCCATAGTAGAAGAAATCATATTACTAGTTCAAAATGTTATGCCCTTTTTATTCAATTTCGTTCTTTCATTGAATTTTGTGAAGAAAAAAAAATTGAAAATTTCTGATCCTTATATATTCATTTCATTTCAATTCTTATAATCTCACCACTATTCATGTTTTTTTTTTGTGTTTCATTCATAATCATCATTTTTCAATCGAGAAAAAAAAATCTGATTCAAAAAAAAAGGAATTTATTTCATTTTTGATTGAAAAAAAATTCTTTTGTTACCGTTTGTATTTATTGCCTCCTGGATCGAACAAAAAAAAATCCAAAAAAGAAAAACAACATTTAAATTTTCAATGGAACAATCGTCATCATCATTTTTTTGTTGCAATCGAAATCACAATTTTTTTTTGTTTTGTTTTGTTTTCGAATGAGATTTTCCATTCATCACACATCCCAAAATCACCACACACATTGACAATGGACAAAGAAGATAATCATCATCAACAACAATGACAATCATTACTTTTTTTCCATTGATAAATAAAAAAAAAATCAACAAAGATAATCACAATAAACATTATATATAAATCAATTTAATTCAATCAATCGATCGATAAAAACAATCTGACAATTCAATTTGACAATCAATCAATCAATCAATCAAATTCACCCTTGTTATTTTATAATAATCTACTACTTTTCATTAAATGAAACAAAACAAATCCTTGGCAATTCTTAAATGCTTTTCAACAAAAAATAGAAGAAGAATAAATTTATCGTTTGATATTCTGTATGTGCTCATTATTTTTTATTTATTTATTACCCGGATCGAAAAAAAGAAGAATTTATTTGGATTTTGGATCAAAATAATCAAGGTAAATTTTACCAACACAAACATTAATTGTACAACCATATGGATGGGAAATTAATAATCAATCAAACATTAAATTGAAATAACAAGATTCCGTGGATACCGAATATTCACTCGACCGAAACTGAATCTAGAATCAATACAAAAAGGTGGTGGCCACTAGTTTTTTGGTTTGTTGTCTTTGGCAACCAACAACAGAATCTAGTGAATCAGAATTTCTTTACTTTTTTTTGCTTCGTGTATTGTGGCGTGTGTTTATTATCAATTCTATATTTTGTATTCTAGTATTATGGAATGAATGAATGAATATTGGCTTTAAGAATTCTCAATTGGAACCGATATTGATCCGACAATCAAATTAATAATGGAATCGATTAGAATTGATGATGAACATCATCATGATTCGTTGCTTCAACGAAATTTTAATAATGATAAATACCACCAACAACGACGACAACAACAAATTCAACAACGATTTTTCATTCAACGAAAATGTATTCTGGTGATAGTCATATTTATAATTGCTTGTTGTAATATTTATCTTCGATCATCGCAATCATCATCTTCATCATCATTGTCAAAAATTCGTGCCTCATTACCAATGCAAAATGATGATAATGTTGCTGGTGTTGTTGGTAGATCTGCGAAAGAAAAAGAAATTATATTCCATAGTCGTCGTATTTTACAAGCCAAAGAAACGATTAAAAAGAATCAAACAAAAATCATAAGCAATAATCGAACGATTAATGACAATCCACATAATAAAACGTAAGTTGAGTTTTTTTTTCGATTTTTACTACAATTTTTAAATTATGTTTTTTTTCAATCAATTTCAACTAGTCACAAGATTGGACCAAAAAAACCATTAATACCATTGATTGATTCGAAAAATATCACTTGTATCGATCCAGCATATATGGAATTTCCACCGGATCTATTCTCGGATCGTGCGCGTTCACGTGGTGCAATCATCATACATATTGCTGTTGTTTGTTATATGTTTTACTGTTTGGCCGTTGTTTGTGATCATTATTTTCTCCCATCGCTGGAAGAATGTTCACTAAGATTAAATCTATCCGAAGATGTTGCTGGTGCTACATTTATGGCTGCCGGATCATCAGCACCAGAATTATTTACAGCCATTTTGGGTGTATTCATTGCCAAAGGTGATGTTGGTACCGGTACAATTGTCGGTTCTGCAGTATTTAATATATTGTTTGTCATTGGATTTTGTTCATTGTTTACTGGTAAGTCGGTTAGTGGTAATCATCACATTTTATGGTTATAATTTGTCAATTTTTTCTGATTATAGTTTCAACTGAATTAAATTGGTGGCCCGTTGCTCGTGATTCGTCCTATTATACATTTACTGTTTTGCTTTTGATTTTGGTAGGTTTTAATTTTATGGTGATGATTAATTTTAACTTTTTGTTTTATCAATTTATAAATAGTGCATTTATGATGGCGAAGTAACTACATTTGAATCATTCACTTTACTATTATTTTATGGTGTTTACATCTTAATTATGAAATATAATATACAACTACGTGATTTAGTCTTTGAACAATGGCAATCACGATTCGGTGGTGTTATTGGTGGTGCGAAATCCACAATACCTGGATCGGCAGGTATCGATGAGCTTAACAATCTTAAAGCCAATACTATACAACAAGTTCATTATAAATCTTTTCAAGGTATATCTGTAATCACTGATTTGATGTAATTCATTAATTTGATTTTCCATTATCATCATCTAAAATAGAAAATGATTATGATGAATTTGGTGCAAATAGTTCAACAACAGCAGCATCGGTACAGCGAAATCCATTTGTCGTACGACAACCAGAAACAACAATGTTTGAAGCAGCAAATCAGATAATTATTAAATATAAACGTTTATTTCGTCCAAACACACGATTTCGTTCAGCTGCACATCTAATAATGATACGATCGAAAAAATCTAAGGATAAAAATCAAAAACAGCAGCAACAAGGCGATAGAGATTTTTACCTAGATGATGATAATGTACAACCACGTCGTATGTCTCGAATTGGTCCGGATGATGAAGATTTTTGGCGAAAAATTCCTGATCCAAGTAATGAAAAAAATTCTGTTGACAAAAATAATAATAAATTCAATTAATTTGATTATCATTTTATCATAGATGTCGATGGAATGTTAGCATGTGCCAAATGGGCCGTACAAGCCCCATTAGCTGCTACCCTTTATTACACAATACCCGATTGTCGAACGAAGAAAAATATGTTTCTAGCAACATTTTTAATCTCTATCATATGGACTGCATTATTCAGTTATATAATGGTTTGGATGGTAACAATGATTGGTTGGACATTTGGCATACCTGATAGTATAATGGGTATTACATTTTTAGCTGCTGGTACATCCGTACCGGATGCATATGCTAGTATGCATGTTGCTAAAATGGTAAGTTGTTTCAATAATAATAAGGAATTTTAATCGCTCTCATTTCATTATTTTATAGGGACAAGCCGATATGGCCGTCAGTAATTCCATTGGTTCAAATGTATTCGATATTTTAGTTGGTCTTGCATTACCTTGGTTTGTTGAAACAACTATTGTTGAACCAGGAACTGTATCAAGTATTAATAGTGGTGGTCTTGTTTATGCTGTCATTCTATTGTTCCTATCATTATTGGCTACAATTTATCTATTTCATCATAATAATTGGACATTGAATCCATCACTTGGTTATTCATTACTTAGTACATATGTAGCATTCCTTATTATTAGTTCAGCTATTGAATTCAATCTGTTTGGTTCAGTTAATCCACCAATTTGTGGTGAATAGTCTGATTCATCAACATCATCATCATCATCATTGATCGGAATGGAAATGAAGACGAGAAAAAAAAATTCAATAACTAATTAGGTTCGAACAACATTAAACAAAAAAATGAATCAATCAAAAAACTAAAAAAAAGGTAGTTGCTGGTTCTATGTGTGAAAATGTTTCTCTTTTTTTGTTGTTCTTTATATCTGTTTGTGTGCTGTTTTTGTGTGTTACAAATTTCCATTTCATTTCTCATCTAAACTCAATTCTATCATTTGTTGATCACATTCACATATTCCATTTTCTCAACAAATTTCAAAACAAAATATTTACTCTTTCTGTCAGTGTTTCATCATTTGTGATCATCATCATCATCATCATCTTACAATTATCAATTGCCATCCTCTCCTATACAAACAACAAACCTTATAAATAGCGCCAGATTTTTTTTAGCCCAATATTTATTTTGAATTTTTTCTTTCAAAAAACTGCCTTTTTTTTCTTGAAAAAAAAACCTCAAATCTTTTTTTTTTGTTTTTGCTTTTGTTTTTCGTCATTGACTAATTGATTATATTTGTTTGATTAATTGTGGTCATTAATTGATTGATTCAAAATTGAAATTTTTAATCGATTTATTTGTGAAAATTTTCAATGATAAAAAGAAAAAAAAATGTACAATAATAATCAACATTAATGGGGGTGAAAATACAGACACATCACACACACACAAAAAAAAAAATTTTTTTTCATTTGTATAAATACAGATTCAAATCAATGTTGATTATGGTTTCCAACGACTCCATGGCTGTCCAAAATAATGTGTTCGAATATGATGATAATTTTGTTGTATTGAACCATTCGATTGTTGTTGTTCTTCATCACCATCATCATCATCGTTGTTGAATTTTCTTTTAAAAATAGCTATCTGTGTTGCATAACCACGTTGCATATCTGGATCCAATGATCGTAATCGGCCAACACCTGATAATCGATATGTGTATAGTGGATATTTCACTAGAATCTGATCACACCATTGTTTAAATTCTTGACGTGTAAATTCAAAATAATGATCACAATCACGAAAACGTGGATCACGATAATGATCACGTTGATTATCATCATTATCATCATCATCATCCACGTCATTATCATTTTTCATACGACATAAATCATTATAATCAAAATTCGGTGTCGTTATTATGGCATAACGTGGTCGTATGAAATCAAAAACATTCATTGCAAATGAATCCAATGATTCAATGGGTAAATGTTCAATCATTTCAACACAAGTAACAATATCTGTGCGAAGAAATCGATAATCATTTTGTCGTACATCACCTTGATATAATTCAATTTGTAATGGACATGATCTATCTGTAAGTCTTTCTTCCATTGATGGCACAACATAGGTATTACCTTCAAAACAATTATCATTCAAATCCAAACATCGAATACAACGAAGAAATGGTAATTGTTTTAGATGCCATGCAAGACGACAACAACCGGAACCAAGATCAGCCACTGATTCAATAGATTTTTTATCATCACCATTATCATCATCATGATGTTGTTGATGTTGATGTTGGCTTAAATGTCGAATAACATCACAAACATAAAGATATCGTTGAACGGATAATGGTGGACGAAATCTTGGTCGCTGCTGATTGGATGATGTTCGCTGTGTTGTTTCAGTAATGGTGGTCATTTGGAAAAAAAATGAAGATGGGTTTTCACTTGGAAAAAAAATCGCAATCAATCAATCAATTTCTTTTATTCAATAAAATAATGATGATGACGGCGCTCCAGGCGTCGTTTATATATTATCAAAATGATGATGATGATGATGTTTAACACAACAGGGGCTATATGAATTATGTGTTTTTCTATGTATAAAAATGAAGAAAAAAAAACGTTTCAACAAAATACAAATCGAATCCTATCGAATTCAAACACTTGATTGGCAATAATTTTTTGTATCATAAATTTTTGATCCACACATTGCACAGATTCCTTTTTTATATGCACATGCTATTATTATAATGGAAAAAAAGGAAAGTAGATGTTAAATTTTGTAAAATGAGTGAAATTCCAAAAATTCGATACGATCGATATTTTGTTTCCATTCAATTTCAACTTACATTGACAATAATGTGAACCAGCCTGATGGACTTTTTGTTTACATATTTTACATGTTTCAAATTTTTGATATGGTTGAAAACGATTCTTTCGTGATGTTAATGCTTTATTTTCATTAAGTTGTCGGCCACCACTTTCTATTTTTTTTTTTTTTGATTGATTGATTGAAAAATATTTAAATCGGAAAAAAATTTTGAAAATTTTTCGATTTTTACATGAACAAAGAAAAATTACATACCTTGCGTATTACGGGCACCAGATTTCCATACATCCGGTGTGATAACTTTGCCCAATTTTTTCTGACATTTATTACAAACCATTTTTTCTGATTAAAATTTTTTTTTTCTTGTTGTATTTGATGAAAATTTATAAAAATTGAATTGAATTTAAAAAAAAACACACACGCACACAAAAACAATTGATGAGCGTTTTTGTTATTATTATTATTGGAGATACATTGTATATGAATGGTTTTGAGAAAAAAAAAATTCATTCGACAATCGATTGACATGTTCATTTCATGACTCGACAGAAAAACACTGATTTTTTTTCAAAAATTTTTGTCTTTTCATTAGTTTGTGAAATTGATTGATCAAACAAACAAAACAAAAATGTTTATGACAAGATCCGAATATGATCGTGGTGTCAACACTTTTTCACCTGAAGGTCGTCTATTCCAAGTGGAATATGCTATCGAAGCTATAAAGGTTTGTTGTTGATTGATTTCGATTTGATTATTTGAATAAAATTTCATTGATTAAATCGCTACAGCTTGGATCGACAGCCATTGCTGTCAAATGTACTGATGGTGTTATATTGGCTGTCGAGAAACGTATCACTTCACCATTGATGGATGTATCGGCAACGGAAAAAATTTCCGAAATTGAAAATCATATTGCCTGTGCTTGTTCGGGATTGATGGCCGATGCCCGTACAATGGTGGATCGTGCACGTGTTGAAACACAACAACATTGGTTTCTTTATAATGAAAAAATGTCCGTTGAAAGCTGTACACAAGCTGTAGCCAATTTGGCTATTCAATTTGGCGATAGTGATAGTGAAGGCAGTGCTATGAGTCGTCCATTTGGATTGGCCATTCTATTTGCCGGTTTTGATGAAAATGGACCATCATTATATTTTATGGATCCATCTGGTACATATGTATCATGTGAAGCAAAAGCTATCGGTTCAGGTTGTGAAGGTGCACAACAAGCATTACAAGAAATCTATAATAAAGTATGTTTTTTTTAGAAAGAATTTTATTTTAATTTTAAAATAATTAATTTTTCTCTTTTCTCCTATACACACAGTCAATGACAATCGATGAGGCTATCAAATCGGTAATGAAAATTCTTAAACAAGTAATGGAAGAAAAACTTAGTTCCACAAATGTTGAGGTGGCCAAAGTGACTCGTGAACATGGTTATCATATGTTGACCAAAGATGAATTGCAAGCATTTTTGTCATGATGATGATGAAATTATTTTCAATACTACTTTTTCTACCATCCAATTTGATGATTTATAAATGAATAAAAGAAAAATTAAAATACTTATGTTCCATTATTTTGTTTATCCATCGTTAATCTTGTCCGTAGTCTTTGATGCCATTCATTTTCCGGTATATTACGTGCCCAATCTGGATAATGATTATCGGGTAATTGAAAATTGGCCATTAAATTTCTTATAGTATCTACATCAAGTTTTTCATCATTTTCATTATTATCATTTGTGGTGGTGTTCGTCGTCGTCGTAGTTGTGGAATTTTCGTTTGATTCAGTGGAATTATTTTCTCTTTCGACGATTGTCGTTGTTGGCCCGTGATTGTTTGTTGTAGTTGATTGAATGGTGGAAGATTGTTCAAACAATGGTTCATTTGTTTCAATCCATAATACCTGATAATCATGACGATAATATTGGCGTTGACCATTGTTGATTGCGTTTTCATCTTGACTAAGAAGAACATATTCATGATTAATTTCATCATCATCATCAGCATTATCATCTTCATGATTGATTGATCCATTTAGATTTAGACCATTTGCATTGGTCAGATTATTCCAAACATTATCTTCAAACAAATCATCATCATCATCATCTTGATCATTATCGTCATTGGGATTTAAACCATTCTGATGATGATCGGGACAGTCATTTTCTGGCCATGAATCATTATTAAAATCTTTGGTTGGCATTTTTTTTGACGATGATCACGATGATTGAATGTTTTGATACTGAAAAATATTTGCAAACTGTGATCATCGAACGATTTATAAATTAGGTGTTTACATGCAAACTCATTTTCATGACCATTCGACAGAGGGCGCTATGAAAAAAATGAATAAGAAAATTTATTATTAAAAAATTCGTCAATTACTCAAATATTATAATGATCATCAGTTTTTAGATTAAACAGAATCGATCCTACGAGGAAAAAAAATTTAAATATTGTGAAATTTTTGTTTTTTAAAAAGGAAAGGGAGTATGTGAAAGACCAAGAATTGTTGTGAAATAGGTGGGTGTAGTTGGTGTATGTAAACATGAATGAATGAATAAAACTCAATGGTGATTTGATGATGATGGTCGAGTAACCTGATTATTATCATTATTATTAAGATAGGTCTTTAAATGATCCAAACGTTGTTTAGCCAATTCTACAGCACGTTTTGCATCTTCGATATTACGTATTCGTGTCTGTTGTTGTTGCTGATTATGTTGTGATTGTTGATAATTATTACGAAATCTTTCATAACTTAATTCATTTATCTGTAATTTTTTAGCTGTATGATCACAATAGATTTGAAAATCTTCCTTAGTTTCTACAATTGGTATAGTCGAAACCATTCCACCATTAGCTGATGATTCAGCATTATGAATCTGTCGAAGACGAAGTGGAAAATCTGTTCGTGGTGATAATTCAGGAATTCGACGTTGTTGTTTTGAAGATTGTTGGGGCGATGGTGATTGATTTTGATTTTCTTTAACATTTCCGCCGTTTCCATTCGTAGCGTTGCTACTATTATTATCGAATGATCTTGATGGACTATTCATATCTAATTTTGAATTCTTTGAATCATTTTTCAATGTTGATGATTTTGACGTTGTTGAATTATTATTATTATTATTAGTACTGCCAGTGGATTTATCAAATTTTTGTCGTAATGCTTTTTGAACATAAAAAGATAATTCTGATTCATCTTTGTTCTGTATCAACGTGAAATGATCCAATATTGAATCACCTTTGAGGCTAACGATAAAAAATATAAGCGTTTTAATTGTACGTAATGGAAGATCATCTTTACGATTCAATTGCCACCATGATTCTGTAAAAAATAGTGAAAAAAAATAAAATGAAAAAAAAATCGAACCAAAAATTTTTAAATCAATCATCTTACTTGGATAACTTTTGAAAAACAAATGAGATTCATAAAGAATTTGATCAATATTTAAATGTTCATAATAACGTTCTTCGAGTGTTTTGGTTATACGCCATAAAAATTTGATTGTTAAATTCAGATATTTATCCGATTGTTCTACGCTAGGTGATCCAACATAATCATGTAGCATACGGATTAAGGCAGCAAATAGATTTGTAGCATCGGCACCAGCCATTATAATACCAATTAAACAATTTGTTGAATTAAATACTGTTTGGATGTGACGCATACCAGCAAAATAGCTAAGTAGATGAGTGATTAATTCACGTACAGTATCACGGCTAATCAATTTGCCTAATGGTGAACGGAATACTTTGTTCAATAAATTTGTAATTGTTCGAAATAAAAGTATGGCACGTTCACGGCGTTCAGCAATCAATCTATCATCAGAATCCTTGTTATTATTGTCAAGTTCGGTATCACGATTTTCATCAATAGCTTGTTGTTGTTGTTGTTGTTCGGATGGATAATGTTTTGATAGAAATAAACGAAATTGTTTATTACAAAGAATAATTAGTTGATCAATTTTTCTTTCAAAATATCGTTGATTTTTTTCCAAATCTTTCATTGCAACATTTAACAATTCGGCTGCTTCGATAGCTTGTTGAAGATCAGTAGATCCAAGCAACTGAAATAATTGATTGAATTTTTGTTGCAATTCAGAATTCAAATTTGATGGTGATGAATTGGGTGATCCATGATTCATGCCACCACCATTCATTCTTATTGGTGTAATATAATGACCATTTGAACGACTTGAATCTGAACTTGATGAACGTACTGTAGCTGTTGATGATGATGCTCTATTTGTTGGACGATAACGAATAGATTCTGGTAAATTCAATGCCTGTTTGATACGTTGTTGTAATTCATTATCATTATTATCGTCATCGGTTGTATAGACATCTGAAGATTCAGATGTTCCGCTTGTTAATCGATTATTTGATACATTAGATTCAGTAGCTGTTGAGGACAAGATTCCAGGATGATGATCAACACCATTTCTTGGATCGATCATCATTGTTTCCGATTCAGTTTCCGTATCTGTAGTAAATGGTTGTGATGGAAGTGGTAGTGGTGGTGGTGGTGTCGAAAATTTCAATCCTCCTTGTTGCTGCTGCTGCTGTTGAGCACGAAGACGAGACGACGATGTAAAATTACCACCACTTTGGCCACGACGTAATAATGAATTCGATAATGATGATCTTGGTGATTTAGTCAATGTTGCGCCATCAAATGGAAGATTTGATGGTGATGCCATTTTTGATCCTTCAAAATCGGTAGGAGTAGCAAGTCCAGAACCACCATTACGAGCACCACCTATACGTCCAGATAATGTTGGCAATCCAGATGTACCATTTGATTGTGTAGGTTCTATATTGAACGATAATTGAAATGATTTTTAAACAAAGATGAACTAGATAGATGAACTAAATGACTTACCTGCTGTATGATTCGAATGTGTAGTTTGAGCTGAATTTGCAGGTGGTGGTGGACGATTTTTCGATGCACGTTTAATTCGTTCTTCGACAAGACTCATATCTTTATCTGAAAGCGAACCAATCAGTTTGAAAACACGTTCACCTTCTAGAAAATACACCTGTACAATACAAGCTAAAGCACCGTTTCGGACACCATTATCACGTTCGGCAATAAATTTAGCCAAATCTTTAATCATTGTCAAACTATTTGGCTGTTGAAATATAGACATTCCACGCTGTTCAATTAGTTGACCAATCTCTTCTAAACAAGTGGCTCTTTGTCGAGAATTTTTCGATTGAAGTCCAGTGAATAGATGACCAAATATTTTTGGTGCTGGATAAATATTTCGGATTCTTTCAATAATATCATGTACTTTATTCCTTACGGCGTCTTTTGGATCACCAAATTTCAATACCAAATATGGTAGAAAAGAATTTGCTTCTATATCCGATAATTGATATTGATATGGATCGGCACAAATCCCAAATATGACCAGCAACAATTCCAATGCTTTAGTGATAACAGATGGATTTGTATCAAAAAATCGTAGAGCAATCCATTTAAGAATCAAATCCAAATTAGCTATGACAACCGGATTATCTTCAGAAGAATTTTTCTGGAAAAAATCACGTATTGAATCAATAGCTTTGATGTGATATTTAAAATCTGGATGAAAACAATAAGTAATCAGCTGTGATTGCCATTCGGCCGTAGTCATTTGTTCACGAAGAATTTGATAGAATTCTTCACGTGGTGTAGTGAAATTCCATCGCAAAACTTTCAATGCTTTTTCATCGGCAAATCGTTGTTCTTTTGCTTTCAAATGTCCATTCATCAATGGTCCTTGTGAATCGGAATCATTCTGACCGGTTTTCTTTGCCGATGATGTTGTTGACCCAGAAGTCAATGAGCTAGCTGAACCAGATTCACCGGAAACACCATTACCGCCGCCACTACCACCACGTAAATTGGATATTGATGAACCTTTTGTAATGGTTCCACCACCAAAACGTGATCCATTTGATGTTTTAGTAAGGCCGCCACTACGAACTGATTTTGTCGAATTATTATCTGAACCAGAACCACTTGCCGAAGCAACACTACCAATTCTTGATTTAGTTGTTCCACCAATTTTTGATTTCATTTTCATTGTCGCTGGTGCATGTGATTGTGGTGGTGGAGGAAGATCCAAATCATCCAGTGACTCACTAGATACATTTTTCACTATCTTTTGCGTTACCTGTCGAGACAACGTTGATTTTTTACCCACCGGTGCTGTTTTTGGTTTTGCTACAGCCGATGATTTGGCTGAAGTTGATTGAGATTGTGATGATGGTGGTGGTGCGGCAAATTTTTTCACTTCTGCTTTGTCACGATATTCTTCAATTTTAGTCATTTTCAACTGTTCTAAACCTTGTAATAACGGACCCATATTGCGATCACCTTGTGCTTTCAATGCCGTTCCTAATGCTTCAGCTGATGATTCACGTACAATGACATCCGAATCGGATAATGTTTTTATCAATGATGTTGTCAATGTTTTCAATAATTTTTTCTGTATTGTATGTGGATTAGTTTTGGTAAAACAACGTGTTAGAAACAATGCTGTTTCACTACGTATTGATGGATTTTTATTATCCAATGAAGTAACTACATCTTCACTTATGGCTTCTAGATTAGTCTGTAAGAAAAGAAAAAAAATTTGAATTTTAAATTTTTAGAAATTCCAAACTCACCGAAAGATAAACAGCATCAATAGTATCACGCAATGATTGTACAACATTTTGTTTCTTTTCTTTGAATTTTTCCAATAAAACCGGTACAGATGGCCCAGCATGATTATGAAAATTTTTTCTCAATCCTTGTGCCATTTGTCCAAGGCATTTGATGGCCAATCCAACGACAACAATATTTGTATCTTTTGCGATCATTTTTCGTAATTGTTTTACCAATTCCGAATAATCACTACCAGTAGCTAATTTAGGATTAGCTTCCAATAGTTGTTGTAATTTTTCCAATCCATCTTTACGTTCTGACCATTTTTTCGCTTCGATTAACGTATAAAAATCTCCAGGTAATTTGGCTATTACATCAAACGGTTCAAGTAAATCGAATGGATCTATTTCAGAATCAGCTTCAGATGGAACACCATCACAACCACCACCACCACCACCATCGTTTTCATTAGTTGCTATGGTTGCGGCATCTACATCTTCAATTTGTCGATGTTGTTGTGAACGTAACAATCGTTCGGGTGAAGCTTTCATATCTTTATATTTATCAAATTCCGTCTGTAATTCTTGCAATAATATCGGTTTCAATGAACTGAGCTGTGGCACAAGTGCATCTTTAATCCAACGATATATTTCAATGGTTAATTGTTTGGTTTCTTCACGAACATTTAGATCACGTTCTTCCAAAAATCGTGCCAATATCGGTACGATTGGTTTCAAACCAATCACTCTATAGCCAAATTGATTCAAACATTTACGTATCATTGCTATAGTAGCGGCAACATTTTTCGGTGTTTTCTGTTCCAATGCTTTAACCAATTCTTCGACAACAACATCTTGACGTTCAATTTCCACGCACATAAGCACTACATCGGATGCTAATTCTTTAGTTCGTGCACGTGTTGCTGTCAAACATTTAGTTGCAACACCGGCTACAATATTCTCAACGTATTTACCGGCTTGTGGACAATAATCAACAAATGCCAATGTTGCAGCTAAACCTTTTTCTTGTGCTGCTGCATTCGTATCGATCACAAATTTTTTCACTAAAGGTGCATAACGTTGAAATTCTCGATCTTCATATTGTGGAAATAATCGCATCAATTCTTCATAACCGGAAAGTCTTGCTTTCCAATTCTATATAAATGAAAAACAACAGAATAAATTAAACAATCCAAAAAACGATGATAAAATGAAATTAAAAAAACATACCTTATGTGAAATACGATCTTCAATGGATAATTTTGAAAAATCCACATCCTGTGATGATGATCCGTTATCATCCATATTATTTATTTTCTATGTTAAAATGATATTAAAATCACTCGGAAAAAATAACCACTGTTGTCAATTTGTTTGGTGGATGATGCTGTGTGAAAAAAAAACAAAAAATACAAATCAAAAAAAAAAAACCAAAACAAAATTCAATTAGCAAAAAATAGATTACCATCAGTTATTTATTAGGTCGAACGAATAATCGAATTTAGAACATACACACACTTGAACAACAACAAACACACACCTATTTCAACCGAATCGAAAATTTTCAATTATACAACTGACACATTCAATAGAAAAAAAATTACTCTCAACAACAACGAAAAACACTGCTTGATATAACAAAAACAAAAATCAGGATCAAACTTGTAGCATCCAAAGAAAAAAAAAATGATGTTGATAATGATAATGTTATTGGATACACAACATATTCGTGTTGTTGTTGTGGTTGTTGTCGGTTTTTGTTTGTTACAAACCACACTGAGAGATCATCATTGTGTGTGTGTGTGTACACATATATAAATAGAGTGGAGAATGAAAAAAAAACTGGCTTGATGTGAATGTATTTGGTGAATTTCTTGAAAGAAAATAAAAACCGGAAAGTCAATCAAAATCGTTGACCATTTGTTATTACTATCATCATCATCATCATCATCGAAGAGAGAACCCCTTTTTTATCAATGAAATGTTTGATCCAATTGAAAAATGAATGATGGGTCGCAAATGATGATGATTGGTTTTCAGTAAAAAACCAGTTTATCTATCCACATATAAATAAAAAGCTATAGATATAGATTTGGCGAAAATTAACCTTTAACATTTTCTCTGATTATCATTATTATTATTATATTACCTACTAATAATGACAGCAGGATTGGTCATCGTTCAATCGGCAAAATAAAATAAAAAAAAAGAGTTGAAAATATGACAAACTCCCCCTTTAATATCAGAAAAAAAATACTTGCCTTAAGAGAGGATATATCATAGAAATCAAAATCGTTCAGAATTCACATTTATGTTATGATTATCATCGACAAAATGTTGATGAGAAAAATCGTAAAAAATTCGATTCAATATCGAATATATCGTCCAGTTATAATGAGTTTGTGTGTTTTTTCGAGGTTTCTGACCTCAAATTAAAAAAAAAAATACAAATTTGATGTTGATGCTCAAAATATACCACACTAATTGTATGTATGTGTGTGTGTGTGTGTGTATGACAAATGACAATGATTAATCAATCAATCAATCAATAATCAATACACTATAGAAATGAATCATTCACTGTTTTCAAGAAAAAAAAATGTAAAATTCAATGTTGACGAAATGATCAAGAAAGATGAAACAAACAAACAAAAAAATCGAACATACACAGACATAAAGAATCCTCAACCGTCGACACTGTTGTTTGTTTGTTTGTTTCGTTTGCCATGGCATGTCAATCGTGGTAGTGGTCATTTCTATAATATGGGTGTGTGGTATTTTTTTTTTTTTCATTTTTTGAAAAATCAAATATAACATAAATCAATACCACTACCATATAATGCGTTGGTGTTATGTGTGGAAAAAAAATCATAACATAAAGTGTAGTCACAATGTATAACATTTGAAACGATTTCATTTGGTTTAAAATAAAAAAAAAAAATTTACGAATTTTGTCATTTTCATTCATTACAATGAATGATTTCATTGTCAATTTGAAATTTTTTTTTCAATTTATTCATCATGGAAAAATAAAAATAAAAAGTTTCGTTTCTCACATGGCAGTCACACACACAGTTTTTCCCAAATACGTCTTATCTGAATGGTGAATTATCGAATCTTTTCGAATTTTATTCGGAATGATGATGATATTTGCTTCCTTTGTGTTGATCAAGTGAGCAAGTGACTTTTTTCGATGTCAAAGTATAACAGACAAAGAGATCGCGTGGTACATTGTGTTGTGAATCCCAACGACAACAAAAAAAAAATTTTGTAAAAAGGCGTTCGTGAAACAAAAAGAAGAAATCAACACTACCTATTATGACAAATTATATATACCTATTTTATTATTGTTTGAAATTTGAAGTCTGAAAAAAAATTCAAATTTTATTCATTTATCATCATCATCATTGATGACACGCCATTTCACCATTAGATGGAATATAATAAAGACATTATAAAAAATAAACAAGAAGATGCTATAGAAATCAAGTTCATTCATCCATCCATGATTGGTCATTATCATCGCCATCACCATCATGACGAAATCAAGGTAAACAACAACAGGTAGGTTGTTCTTTATTTTTATATGTTTTGTTTATTTTCGGTGATTTATTTTTGATCAATTTATATATTTTGTGTTGGTTTGTTTTTGTTTTTGTTTTGGCTATGTTTCTGGCCCATTACAATGGCTACAATCACGAATAAATTCTGGTTGATGATTTTCAATCTGTATGGTTGTCTGTGATATACGTAATTCACGACGTATCAATGTTTCAGCTTGATTTCGTATCGATTCAAATAAATTATGACCATCATCATCATCATCATCACCATGGTGATTATTCATCGTTTCGGCTTCTACTGTCAAATGTACGGCCAATGCATTACGGCCATGTGTTAAAGACCAGATATGTAATGAATGTACATTCTTTACGCCAGGTATTTGTTCACTTAACATTTGTATGACTTGTTCATAACTATATTCTTTCGGAAACCTTCCATCAATATATGAAGACTATCTTTCATTATTGAATATGTTGTAGCGAATACTAATGTTGCAAACAATAATGTACAAATTGGATCGGCCAATTTCCATTCTGGACGAAAATGAATTATAATCGATGCAATCAATACACCAATCGATTGTATTAGATCACCAATAATGTGTAATATTGCTGCACGTACATTCATATTGACATGTGAATGACCATGTTGATGATTATGATTATGTTGATGTTGATGTTGGTGTTGGTGTTGATGACTAATCGATCCTTGGCCTTCCATTTCTTTTTCATCATCATGGTTTCCACAACAACAACAAGTTGATTGTGATGATAATACTAACCACATGACTAGATTAATTGCCAAACCAATCAATGAAACTGTTAACATTGTCATTGAATCAATTTCAAATTCATTGGATACAATTCGTTGTATGGCAAAATAAACAAGAAGTCCGGTTAGAAACCAGATAAGAAAAACGCTGAACAAAACACCGATAACTTCTAATCGTAAATATCCAAATGATTTGGATCTAGTCGGTGGTTTTTGTGCCAAATAAACGGCAAACAAACTAATTGCAAAACTTATTAAATCACTAAATAAATGTGCAGCATCTTTCAAATGGAAAGCAAAGAAAAAAAAGATGTCAACAACTCATAAGGTATGTACAGTAAACTATAATAAATACCTGTAAATATTGCCAAACTATGTGATAGATAACCACCGATAAATTCAATAAGCATAAATATCGTACACATAATAAGACCAATGACCAATTTCATCATTACTTGACGTGCAAATCTTTGTTGATCACGATCCATTTCAATATCATGACAATGTTTTGATAATGATGGTGGTATTTGTTTCTCATTTCTGGCGCTCAACGTTCGATTAGATGAATTATCATAATCATCATCATCGTTACTTACTTCTTCGTCATCCATCGTTTGATATTCGAATGAATTCTGTTTTTGTTTCTTCATAGAATCCTTAGATTTTTTTCGTTTTTGTTTATTATTCATATTGTTCTTTTTTATCATCATTTTTTCTGTATTTTGATCAACAACATTTTCCATCGGTATTATTGCCATTGTGGATGTCGATGGACTCATCATCATTATTTGGTGGTCTGAATTTTTCGAAATGACATTTTCATTTTCAGATTCTATTATTTGACAATTATTCAGAGTAGTAGTAGTAGTAGCAGTTGTAGTAGCAATCATTGATGATGATGATGATGGAAATTTGTTATTTAGATTTGGATCAAAATCAATCAATAATCGATCCGATTCATCATGATGTTTCGAATTTTCTTTTGATGATGAATAAATGCCATTGTTGAATACACCTGTTGCTTTTGTTGTTGTATTTGTTTGATTTGAATGATCAATCACATCTGTTTCATTAACATAATTTTTATTTACCACAATAACCTTGGATTGAATTTTGGTTGCCATGCTATCATAATCATTATCATCATCATCATCATCATCATCATCATCATCATTTAGTTTGGTTTTCACTAATGATGATGATGATGATGATGTTTCATATTTTTGTTGACGATGAATTGATGATTGTTTCAACATTCTAATTTATTTTATTCAACATTAAATGTTCACGTTATTATTGTTTTGATGATGATGATGATGATTGTGAATGGTAATCTATTTGTATGTCTATGTATTGTGTCATTGTTTGTATATATGTTTCTAGTAACAAAAAAAAAAAAAAAATTAAAAATAAAATCCATACACGATTGCAATCCAATCATTTATATACGATCATGACAATGATGGTGATGGTGTTGATTAAAAGATTTATAGATATGTATATGAATGCGAGAGAAAGAGAGAGATATAAAGGCCACACCAAAAACATAGATTCCCGTTATATATATCAACAAATAAAAACACTTGTTGGTTGGCTGGTTGATTGGTGATATACATCTCTCTATGCTAAGTGTCTGTGTGTGTTTTACTTTCACTATTTTTCAGGTTATTGTGCTCATTGGTGTAAATTATAATCAGTGGCTATAATCTATTAATATTGTGGTAGATAATTTAACCACCAGATAAACGGAAATTATCCAGCGGTGTCCAGATATGACTTTTTTTTGCTGTATATTGGCTGCTTATGTTTGTTTTTTTTTGACATCTTCATATATAGAATAGAATATTTTTTTTTTTTTCTCATTCTAATTCTATTTTTATTTATCTTTAATAATGATTCATCACACACTAAAATGTCTAGCCTGTAGTAGTCATAAAGTGTTTTTTTTTTTTTAGAGATTGATTACAACATTCAATTGCAATCGTTGAGTTCTTAATTCTTGAATTAATATGATATGATGATGATTATAGTGATGGATCAACAATTGCATTTTTATTTACTTGTTGTTTTCTTGGATGATTTTTATGCCTATATCGATAGATTATTTTTCTTATTGATTCTTGGTTGTTGTTCTTTGATAATAATCGAAATTGTGGCCGTGGTTGTGGTGTTGGTGATGAAAATAATGCTATTGTCGTTGTTGTTGATAGTGGTGGTGGTGATGATGATGAATCTTTAACAAATGGATGTATTTGTAATGATGATGGTAAACTTTTTAGACGATTTTTGTATAATGTTGTAGCAATACAAATCATAAATAATAATGTCAAAATGATGGATAATAATACAATTAATAATGTTTTTTCTTGATTCAATTTAGTTTTCAATGAATTTGACCATTTTGATTCTGATAATGATGATGATGGTGATTTGTTGATCATCAATGTGGTGGTGGTGGTGGTTGTCATCATCTTCATATTCTTACCAATTGGATTCTTTTTGATCTTTACATCATCCTTAGTAATCGTCGTCGGTAATTTAGGTTTTATTTTTGCAATCTGCCATGAATTTGGTGATTCATAAAGCTTAAAATATTCATTGAATTTTAAAATTTTAAATTGAAATTTTTTTCTCTTTGTATGTATAATATAACTATCGACTAACAGTACAGTTTGATTACTAGAAGATATCAATACTAAATCTTTTAATCCATGCTTTTGCATGATAATGAAACCATAATCATATGATAAAAATATCATTCTTTCAGCTCGATAATTTTCATCATAATTTGATTGTCTTGTTGTTATATAAAGACTTTTGGTTGTAAATTCAATATTTAAATGACCAATAATTTGTAATTTTGGTTTTTCCTGTTTCACTGATGATGATAAATCAATATAATAAAAACGTAAATTTTGTTTCAATGATTCATAAACAATAACATAAATGTGATTCACACCGCTAATCAAAATAAAATGATGTGGATGTGGATATGTTGTCATCATTGTTTGAAATAAATGTGGCCATCGTTTTTGTTGTTTTTCACTATAAAAAATTGAATAATAATATTGTGAATCATATGTTTTAAATGCATAAAATATACGGCCAAAATCACTGGTTTCAATTATTGATGCATAAATCTTTGCTATTGATGATTTATTTGTTTTGTTGTTGTTCATCATTGTTTTTTCATTTTTCGATAATTTAAACAAATCATCACTAATCAAACTAACCAATTTATTATCCATACGCTGTAAACGAAATAGATAGCCATTATTTAGGCTAATTGTATGATTAATTTCATGATGATGATAAACATTATCTTCATAACGAATCAAATAGATTTGATTTTCAGTTTTATTATGAATAATTTGATTGATAAAACCACCATCACCATCATTACCATTACTGGTCATTGATATACCGATTGTATTGTTTAAATATTTTTGACCACTTGGAATAAAATCATCTGCATCATTCGATAATGGTGACCATCCTAATTCTTTTGCTGCCATAGCCGCATCAATTATCGTTGTTAGAACGATGATTACAATGAATCGTTGGGACATTTTTTTTTTTTTTTATTCCCGCAGAATAAAAACAACAAAAAAAACAAAACAAAACAACAGCCCAAAACGAGAAAACGATTACAAAATCAGTTTCGAATGTATAGTAGTAGTAGAAACATTTTAAATTGTTGGTTTTTTTTCCTGAAATTCTAATTTTATAATTTTATTTCATTTTTTCAATAATTTAATTTTAATAAATTTCCCACTATTCAATTTCGAAGGTGTCTCTAATGACTCCGATGATGTGGTGGTGGTGGTGGTGGCGGTGGATAATGATTTTGATATTCGATATTGTCCATTTATTCGATTATTCCATTTCGATGGTAATGGTATATAATTTGTTAATAATGACCATGACCAACGACAACACCAACAACATCCATAACCCATACATAGTATAATTAATTTTATAAACATTAATATCAATGATATTAGAATGGATACATATAGAATGATTCGATATTTTTTATTCTTCAATAATGTTTCATTAATTTTACGATTCTTTTGTTTGTATTCATCATCATCATCGATTATTGATCGATTGTTGTTCTGTTTATCATCATATGGATTTAATGTATCACAATAGAAAAATTCATTAAATGGTATCACTGTCAATGGATATGAACTAAATCTTTGTGTAAATGCACGGCTATCAAATGTAACGATACGTTTATTTTGATTTGAAACAAGAAATATTTGTTTCTGTTGTTGTTGTTGTTTTCCACCATCAGTTTTATTTTCAAATTGTTGTTGATAATCAATAAAACCATATGTAAACATTTCATTGAATAAACGTTTTATCATTTCATTCATACGTTTTATTTGTTCCATTGTCATTGGTATTGGTTTAATAATCGATATTAATCGATAATGTTTATTATTATTGTTGTCTTTTTCGTCAATAACTAGATCATCACCAGGATTTTTATTATCATCATCAATATCTGCATAAAGATTGGCAATAAATTCTAATCTATCGGTCGTATTGTTGTTAGCTGAATCTTCGTTAACTTGTTTCAATCGATAAACGACTACTTTTGACATTGAATAATCATCATCACCATCGTCATCGATAATGTATTGAATTTGAAATAAATTTCCATCATCACTAGCAACAATTGTAATATGTGTTTTATTTTCATAATTAATATTCAAAAATTTCAATTGATCCAATGTTGATAATCTTCTACTTGTAGATTCTTGTTGTCGATCTTGATAATCACAATATCTATAATGATAACCATCGAATGATTTAAAACAATATAATCTAATAAACTGGTTTTGTTCATTTGAATCATTCATCGATGATGATGATGATGATGATAATAATAAATTTATCATTGTAGCACCAAATAATGGCTGCTGTTCTTGTTGTTCATTCGATGTTGTTGTTGATTCATTATGATGATTCCAGTTGAAAATTTTTTTATCCAATGATAGTTTTATATATGGATCAATAAAAAAATGTTGTAAATCATATTTTAACCCATTGGATAGATTTAATCGATAATTTTTTTTATTAACCACTTGTTGTTGTTGTTGTTGTTTTTGTTGTTGTTGCCGCTTATTATAAACAATAATACGGATTTTTTCAGTTTCCAAATTTTCATTGATCACCTGATAAATTTGATCACCATTTATGGCCATACCGATTGTTTTGTCAAGATAAGATATACCACAGCTAATGGACAAACGTGGTCGATCAATAAATTGAAAATTTTCCACCATAATCATTGTGGCCACGATTATCAGCGCTTTATAAAACCACATTGTCATAATTCTGGAACAAAGAAAAAGATTTTTTTTTTCATAATTTTTTACGATTTGTTCGGTTTTTATTTTCTGAAAATAAGAAATGAAATTGTTTTATTTTCTTGTTTTTTCGTAATTTAATTCACTATAGTAGTATAGATAATTCAGTTATTGATTGTGACGATGGTGGCGGTGGCGGCGCTGGATTTGGTTGTTTTTTTAACTTTAAATCTGAACGTAATTTCAATGATAATGAATGTAAAAATGATTGTGGTGGTGTTTTTGTTTTCGATGTTGATGATGATGATGATGATGATAAATTCTGTTGATATTGATAAATTGGATACATTCGCCATGATTTTCGCTGTGATAATCGTCGTATTCGTTGTGATAATTTTGAATGTAAATAACAAAATTTCCAATTACGATAACAAGCAATCAATATAATTATCATTAATGGTCCAAGTATTAATATAATGGCTATGATAATTAAAATTTTTAATAATAATCTACGACCAATGAAACCGCCATAATAACTACCTGTTGTAGTTGCAGTATTCAATTTTGTTTTTCCAGTATTCAATTCAATGGTTGTGTTTGTGGTGGTGGTCGTCGTCGTCGTCGTCATTACGACATCTGTGAATGTAACACCACCATCAACATCATAATAATCATCGATATCGACAATTTCATTTCCATTATTATTATTATCATTATCATCATGATGTTGACATTTAAAAAAATCTTGATATGATTGTATTCTATATGAAACTTTTGGATTTTTACCATTTTTATTCACCAGAATATGAGTGGAAAATGAAAGAATTTTTTCATTTTGATTTGAAAATAAAAATATTCTTTCAACATCATGGTCACCACCACCACCACCACTATGACCACTGATCCGGTCAACGAAACCAAATGTAAATACACTATTATTTAATAAATGATGATTAAATTCATAATTATGCTGTTGTTTTGATCTCGAAGCAAAACCATTAAAAACAATAAATTTTTGATGATTTTCTGGATCAATGTAAAGTATTTTAGTCCAATCATATATACCAGAAACACCATAATGTTTTGTTGTTAATTTTGCAATATTCAAACTAAATGATTTTTGATTATAAAAATATATAATAATACCATTATTACCGACCGAAACAGTGCCCATAACATTTGGCCGATGTATGTATTCACCAAAAAATATTTTAACATTATCCGAATCAATTTCTTGGCCATAATCACCAATCAGATAACGATAACCATTATAGGTTTTAAGACAATATATACGTATATTTCCATTATCATTAATGGACATTGATATACTCATTATTGTTTGATTAAGATGATCATCATGATCATCATCATTAATAATTTTAATCATCTTTTTTTCAATACGTTCATCCGTTTGAAATATTCCTATCAATTTCTTTACCACATTTGTATGATCATTAATAATGTCATCGATTCCATTTGTCATTAATTGTCCATCAATTAGATTCAATTGATAATTATTATTATTTTTCTTGTCAATTAAAATTGATTTATATGGATCATAGATGATAATCTTTATTGTTTGATTTATATATAAAAATTGATATAAATAACCACCAGTTATTGATAAACCAATTGTTTTCTGTAGATAATTGATACCACATTTTATTGGTTGTCGTTGTTGTTGTTGTGTTGTTGTTGTTGTTGTTCATCACAAAAACATAATCCAATTATTATGATGATCTGAATTATTAGTCGATTGCGTAACATTTTGGCGAAATGAAAAAAAAATCAGATTTTCAACAAGAAAAAAAATTCACACAAAGAAAATTTGCATAAAAATATCATCATTTTTAAACGATATTTTTTTTTTTTTTTTGATCAAATTGTAAAATTTTAATTTCATTTCTCAATTATTGCCGTTGTTGATAATATTTTAGTGTTCGATATTTTGTTATTGTTGTTGTTGGTGGTGGTGGTGGTGGTGTTGTGGTGTTAATTTTGTTCTAGTTTTGATTTTCTTTCGATTTTCAATCGATTCTGATGTCTCTGACGACGACGACGACGATGATGATGATGAATTTAAATTTTTCAACCATCGTGATTGTAATATTGGTAGTCTACGTCGTCTACGTCGTTGTTGTTGTTGTTGTTGTTGTTGATTATGACAACAACAAAAAAAACAATTACAATAACCATTATGATAACAAATCATTAAAATGATTGCCAATAATGGACCCATTATCATTAGAATTGTCGATATGATAATCACAGTATAAAGAAGTAAATGATATTCTTGATAAACTATTTTCGTCGTTTGTTCAACAACAGTTCTGCTGATTGTTGTTACGTCATTTTTGTATGGATTCTCATCGTCCTCACAATCATCATCGTCATCATTTCCTTTTGTTGGTGGTGGTGGTGGTGGTGGTGGTTGTGATTCACAATAGAAAAAATCTTGATATGATTGTATTGTAATTGGAAATGTCATTTTATCCGTATAGAATGCATTGAAATTGAATGACAGAATTGTTTGGCGAGAATTTGATAATAGAAATACAATTTTTTCATCATTCAAAATGGCAGCATTGTTTGGTGGTGGTGGTGGTGGTGGTCCATCACCTTTGTTAATGATGAAACCATATTCAACTGGTTGAAATGAACGGTGAATATTCTGTTTCATACGATTCGTTTGTTCATTAGACCAATAGTGTGAACGAGTTTGAGCTGAATACAGATAATCTAATCCATTATGATCCATATAATGTAAACGAACCAACAATTTTAGACTATCATTACCATATTTATTTACACGTATGGAATCTTCATTCATTCGATATGATATAAATAATAAATGATCATCATTACTGATGACTATAATATTCGAATCATTGTGATATATCATAAATTTATAAATATCAGAAAAATTTCCATAATTACCAACAAAATACCTGATATGATCAAATGTTTTATAGCAATAAAATTGTAAAAATTTATGATCATCATCAATCATAATTGTAGCACCTAATCGTGATATTTGTTGTTGTGTTGATTTATCATCAATGCCCAATTTAAATAAATCTAATAATTTCTTATAAACATCCGGTGATTGTATTAATTGATTCAGATGATAATAATAATGACCATCGATTAGATTCATTCGATAACTATTCGGTTTATTATTGACTGTGGATATTCTTTTTCCATTAATTTGTTGTTCATATTTTATTACTTGTAATGTTTGATTAGTGTACAGCATTTGATAGATTTGATTATTTTCGGTTATTGATATACCGATCGTGTTATTTAGATAATCACAGCCACATTTAATCATTTTTGGGTTGTTGTTGTTGTTGTTGTTCATCCTGGGCATTTCCAAGGTTTAATCTCACCGAAATAAGTAGCGCCAACAACGATGTTGTATACATCGTTTTAATTTCTGGAATCAAATTTTTGTGGTTAATTGAAATTTTCTTTTTTGCAGCATTTTTTCTCATTGTTTTTTTAATTCAAAATTCAATCAAATTATCGATTCATGGTTTATGAAATTTTTTTTTATTTTTTATTCCTACTAATTCGATTAATTTTCTGATGATGATGATTATTTTTCATTTTACTTCTATCAACAAATGTATCGATAGTATCGATTGTTTTCAAAGAAATTGTTTCCGATAATCGATATTTATTTGGATAATAATCGATAGTTGTTGTTGTTGTTGTCTGATCTAATGATCGTCGATAATTATATAAAGCAATCAATATGCTTATCATAACAGCCAATAAAATGATTAATGTTAATATAAAGATGATAATTTTGAGATATTCACCCATTCGATTTGTTCGATTCATTACATGATTTATATCCATAATTTTCGACCATATACAATGAAAATAATCATTGAATTTCATCAAATGAATGTTGTACATTTTTTCACCTTTTAAATCAAATAATAATAATTCATTTACAGCCAATATTTTATCACTGGATACAAGAAATAAAATTTTTTCACTTTCATTTTTTTCAATCACTACACTGTCCATAGTGAATCCATATTGCCATTGATTGTTGAATAATTTATCTTGATTTTCATACCATGAATTTCTATTATCAACACTCAATGCATCTTTATTCAGGCTGAAATAATATCCTTGTTTTGTACGTGAATAAAATGTATGCAGATATATTTGTAATTGTAATTTCTGTCTTTTTTGTCTACGATATAATGACACCTGTGATGTCGTTTGGTCATAATATAATTGAAATAATTGGCCACAATTTGATGAAATCAATGTTATAATTGTCGTATGATTCATTTTCATTATGATAACATCATTATAACCACCGATTGTTTCATAATAACCGAATCGATATTCAATACGATCATATGTTATATATGAATCAAATATATAGCCAGTCATTTTTGTATAACCCATTATGATTCGAATTTCTGGTTTTTGTTCGATTTCTTTTTGTTCTTTCCATTTGAATTGTTCCATTAACATTCGTTCCAATCTATTTGTTGTGAATTCTTTAAAAATAAATAGATAACCATCGATAAGATTTAGTGACCATAATGATTGATGATGATGATTATAATTTGTTGATAGATCGGCTGATCGATTTGGATAGACAATAATCCAAAGATTGTTTGCAGAATGATTATAAATAATTTGATAAACATCGAAACCAATAGTTGATATACCAACAGTTTCATTTAGATAATGTTGACCACAATCGATTTTATTGATAGCATTTGTAAGTGTTAATATTGGTTGTTCAAATTCTTCTTGATCAACAGTATTGTTGTTTGCCAATATTAATTTGGCCACCACCATCATCATGATCAATAATAACTGCCAATGCATTATTGGCGAAAAACCCCCACTATTTTTCAGGCTTGAATAAATATATAACATTTTTAATCATACGTTTTTGATCAACAAAAATTTAATTTTTGAAAAAAATAATTTAATCATTTACTTTTTTTTCATACACGAAAAAATTGTTGTTGCTGTTGCCATCTATCATACACTGGAATGGTTTTTGGTGATCTTTTAAATAATGTAATTGGAGTACCACCATCATTATAACCACCACCATTCGATATATCCATAAACATATAATCTGTATCATCATTATTCATTGTCATTCCTGGTAATAATCTTCGTGTTCGTATACATATAGTAGCGCCAACGATTGTAAACAACAATATTGCAATGATAACCATACCGCCAATAAATAATGGTATACGATATTGTTCCAACATTTTCATTTTCAATTCCAATAATGGTTCCGATGATGTCATTGATGAAACCAAGTCTGATGATGGTGATGGTGATGGTGATGGTGATGGTGATGGTGTTGGTGATGGTGATGATGATGATGATGGAGCAAATGATTCTGATTCTGGTGATGAAGCGAATACAGATGATGGCGATAAATCAAAAGATTCTGAAGATGGAGCCGAAAATTCTGGTGATGGAGCCAAAGATTCTGATGATGATGATAATGGCAAAGAGGTTTGTGCAATTATTTCATTTTTAAATGGTTTATCTAATTGTTTAATTTTGGCATCAATATGTTGACAATAGAAAAATTCCTCCAATTTCAGGAAAATAAATGGAAATTTTTTAGTAAATTGTCTCAAAACATTTGCATTGAATGATAGTATTAATTTTTTCTGATTTGAAACAATAAATATTCTCCAATAATTATTATTATTCTCTATATTTCTTTCATATAATTCAAATCCATAATTAAAATCATAATCTTCCATCATTTCACTGGTTAATCCGGAAGATATTTGTTTACGAAAAAGCATTACCGTCATGGCTCTGAAATCAAATTTTAGATAACCAACTAATTGTTTATGAAATGAATACCATAAATAAATGGCCAATTCATCATTATCAACATGATATTCAAAACTAAGTGTTGATTCAATAGTAGATACAAGAAATAAATATTTTGTATGACTATTGTCCATATAAAATGATGTTATTGGATTATTTACACTTTGATTACGAAATATACCATTCTGAAAATGTTTATAATCATAGGTTTTTGTTGAATATAATGATGAACGAAATTGTGGATTAGCACCACGAGCACCAATCACTGGTTTACTCCATGCAATATTTATTCTTGGTCTGTGTTTTTGTTGTTCACTGATTTGCGTCATCGATAAATCTGGTCGCCAATTCATTAATTGTTCATTAAATTGTTCTGCAACAGTTTGATTTTCAATTAATTTACTTAATGATAGTGAATAACCATTAACAAGATTTACGAATGGAAAATTTTGATCAATGGATAATAGATGATCATACATTACTATTAATAAATCAATTTTTTGTTCATTTGTAATTTCAACAAATTGTATTAAATGTTGCTGTATAATCGATATACCAATTGTATTTGGTAGATAATGTAAACCACAATTGATTGTTCTTTGAGCATCATTTGGCAACAATTCCAATGATGATGATTCTTGATTGTTGAATAGTAACAAAAACAAAATCCAAAACATCATAAAAAGTGAATAAAACATTTTGAAATGGATTTATTCACATACATGCATGATATTTAAATTTTTTTTTTTTAAAATTAAATTAAATTTAATTTAGTAGCTAAAAATAGCTATTTATTTTACTTACAAAAAAAACATTCTGAATATGGCGAAATTCTCGAACAACGAAATTACATTTCACAATTTTCCAATTTTTATGACGACGACGATGATGATGATGATGATAATGATGGTGGTGGTGGGTGGACGATCCCATGTGACAATTATCAGGCAATCACATGTGAGATAAGATTGTTAATAAATTACGATTTAAAAAAAAAAAAATTGAAAACTTGTTTTTTCGTTCATTCGTTTGTTTGTTTGTTTTTTTTAATGTTTCTCACTTGTTGATTTTTTTTCCTCATTCTTGTTTTATTAGGATACAGGATGAATGAACGAACACAAATGAACCCTTACGAACATGCTAAGTAAAAAAAAAAAAAAAAATGCAACACACATATACATTGTCAATTTATCGTTTGAATTTTTTTTTTTCGTTTTATTTCATTTTCAAACATTGTATATACAAATACTGAGAAAGAATTTAGTTTTGTTATTGTTTCTCACATCTGATCTGATCCACATCATGAAAAAAATGTTCATATTCTGTGTGTTCATTATGATGATGATGATGATGATAACAAATTCGTTGGAAGCTAAAAATTCAACACAAAATCATAATAAAAATTCATGTGGCGAAAATCGTAAAATCCATATCGATCTGATTGTACAACAATTTCTAATGTTTGGTCCAAATGGTCGTAAATTTCCTGAAACAATGTCACAATTGCCAAAATTTTGCCGGTGTGTAAATAGCCCATTGTTGATTGTTTCTATTTTTTTTTTTTTGAATTAAAATTTTCAATAATCTAGTGAAAGTTCAGATCTTCTTGAAGAAATACGCGATTACTTTGAACAATGTGAAAATGAATATAATCGAGATTTGGCTAAAATTGTTCTGTATTCATTACGACGAATGATACGAATATTTTGTCATCGTAAACAGAATAAAAGGCCAAGTAGAAAATTGAAACGTTTAATAGCTGCATCATCATGTGTTAATCGTTATCGGTTAGAATTCACTTGTCTAGATCGTTATACAGAACGTTCATGGCCATTAATTGGTGCCCAGATTGGTAATCGAAAAATTGATTACATATGCTGGCAAGTATAATTTATCACCTGACATTAAGTGAATTAATTTTATTTTCTAACCAGTAACTATGTAGATACTATGCAATGTATGGATGATTTTAATGATTCTCGTGAATGTTTACATAATGATCGTGATTTATTCCATGAATTTGTTGAACAAATTTTCTCCAATGTAATCAATGTATTTTGTGTTGGTGAAAATTCCCTGGATTCATTAGATCATTGTCAACGTATTGAATCAAAACGACCAAAAACATTTCAAACTATTGATGAAGAAATTGAAGCAAAAAAATATCATTCATTAATGATGGTTACATTTGCAATATTGAATTCTATGAATCAACAACAACAACAGCAGCAGCAGCAACCAGTTACCTTTACCAAATGATGATGATGATGAGATAAAAAAGCAAAAGCAATCATCATTCTATTTATATTTCAAAGCTTGATTTAATATGTGATAATCAATCAATGACATGGCTAAAATAAAAATAAGTACAATAAATAAATAAATAATATATAATAATAATATTAATTTGATGACAATATGTCACAAACACAACAACAAAAACAACTTTGCCAAGAATCTAGAAAAAAAAATTGCACAAAGTACACACAACTTTATTATGAGCAATAATGTGATGTTTTTTTTTTTTTTGATAACGATGATTCCTGTCGACTAATCAACAAGCTTTTTTTTTGTAGGTAGTGGTAGAAAGTAAAAAAACAAAAAAGTAAATTAGATAAAAAAATTTTCCAATATAAATCAGATATATAATATATCAAACGAAAATCTTTTTTTTTGCGAATTCAAAAAACAAATTTTCAATTAAATCGATTCGTTTTGCTGTTGATTTTTTTTCAATTTTATGATAAAAAATTGAATTGAATGTAATGATTATTTTTATTTTAAACTTGTGCTATACTATATGCAGCAACAAGCTTTGTATAAATGCAACAAACACACAAGCATTCAGTTTCACTCTTGGGAAATATTGGAATTAAAAATTTAATAACGAATAAATATATAGATGAATGATGTTTTTAAAAAATATTCACCATCATCATCATCATTTTTCATTCGTTTGGTTTTCATTGTTATTGTCATCATAGTTGGTTCAAATTATCATCAATCATATGGTTATGCTAAACGAAATGAAACAAATAAAAATTGCAATGATGAACGAAAATCGCAAACAGATCTTTTTATGCAACGTTTTTTGACATTTGGTTCAAATGGTCGATCGTTTCCCGAAACATTGACACAATTAAATGGCTATTGTGATGAAGGGAAACGATTACTTGTAAAAATAGAAAAATATTATTTAGAATGTGAAAGTAAATATATTCAAGACCTGTCCAAAATTGGTATGTATTCATTACGACATATAATACGAACGTTTTGTCGTTTAAAATCATCGACCAATGCCACTATGACTAAACAACAATCAAATCGACAAAAAAATCAATGAAAAAATTGAAAAAATTATTGGCCGTAGCACCATGTTTAAATCGTTATAATCTGAATTTTAAATGTCTGGATCGATATGCTGAACGTTCATGGCCATTGGTAAAAGCATCGATTGGTAATCGAAAAATTTCATACATTTGCTGGTAAGTAACCGTATATGAGAGATGATCAATGAATTATTGACAATCAAAATTCTTTAGTAATTATGTAGAATCAATGGATTGTGTGGATCGATTTATCACTGGTATTGATTGTATCCGCCATGAACATCAATTATTAACAGAATTCGTTGACGATATATTTGTAAATATGATCAATGCACTTTGTATTGGCGATAATGCAGCCGATTCGGATCGTTGTGAACGTTTAGAATCAACGAGGCCAAAATTTACAAATTCAGCTGAAGAAAAATCTGTTCATAAATTCAAATCTTTTATGATGGCTTCATTTGAAATTTTGAATTCAATTCAATAATTTCTGGTAAAACTTTTGTCAAATGTTCACATGATACTAAAAAAAAAAAAAACAAAACGAATAAAATTGGAAAAAAGAAAAATTTTGAAAATCAATTACACATACCTGTTTGAGATATATTTTTCTTATCAATTTTTTTTTTTTTTTGCTTTCGATTCACATAAAATCAATATACAAGTACGCTTGACCATAAAAAACAGTATTTTGATGCTTTAAGATTCAAAAATGAAAAAAAAATTCCAATATTAATTTCAATTCAATAAAGAAGTGGCATGTATCTGTTTTGCTTACCCTCCCTCGCCACTATCCCTACCATCACCATTTTTTTCGAATCAACAAGTTTTTTATCTTAAAATCTAAAAGAAATTAATTAAAATTCAAAATTCGATTTTTTCGAATGATAACCACAACAATATAAAATATATAAAATCATCATCTTATAAAAAAAATATGAATCTTTTTTTCACACGTCACATTTTTTTTCAAAAAAAAACGCAAAAATTCCATTCAATTCAAGTTTTTTTTGTTTAAATCAATCATTTATTGATTGAATGAATCATGGAAAACAAATATCCATCTTCATCATTTTTCATTCGTTTTGTTTTCATTGTTATTGTCATCATTGTTGGTTCAAATCATCATCAATCATATGGTCATGTTAACCGAAATGAAACAAATAAAAATTGCAACGATGAACGAAAATTGCAAACCGATCTTATAGTGCAATATTTCATAACATTTGGTAAAAATGGTCGATCGTTTCCCGAAACATTCACACAATTGAATGATTTTTGTGATGAATCGAAACAATCACTTGAAAAAATAGAAAAATATTATTTAGAATGTGAAAGTAAATATAATCAAGATCTGTCCAAAATTGGTGTGTATTCATTACGTCATATAATACGAACGTTTTGTCGTTTAAAACCATCAGACATTGACACTACGAATAAACACCAATCAAATCGACGAAAAAAATCAATGAAAAAATTGAAAAGATTATTGGCCGTAGCACCATGTTTAAATCGTTATAATCTGAATTTTAAATGTCTAGATCGATATGCTGAACGTTCATGGCCATTGGTAAAAGCACCGATTGGTAATCGAAAAATTTCATACATTTGCTGGTAAGTGACCGTATATGAGATGATCAATGAATTATTGACAATCAAATTCTTTAGTAATTATGTAGACGCAATGGAGTGTTTGGATCGATTCATCACTGATATCGATTGTATCCGCCATGAACGTCAATTATTAACAGAATTCGTGGACGATATGTTTTTAAATATGATCAATGCACTTTGTATTGGCGATAATGCAGCCGATTCGGATCGTTGTGAACGTTTAAAATCAACGAGACCAAAATTTAAAAATTCAACTGAAGAAAAATCTGTTCATAAATTTAAGTCTTTTCTAATGGCTTCATTTGAAATTTTGAATTCAATTCAAGAATAATAATTGTTCAGTTGATTGTTGATTCTGACCATTTTTTTCGTAAATAAAATTCCAATGTTTGTTTTAAACACAATAAAACTGTGTAACAGTCGATGATTGTATTTCAATTTGACTCATTCGTGCTTGAATTCGTTGTAACCATCGTACCAATACGGTGGATAACATCATTGCATCATTTTTAGTTTGTGCAGGAACGGGCCAACTAATCAATGTTTTTAATCTAGCCGTTACATGATCAGATAGCTGTCCTGGATAGCTATTGAAAAATGGTAACCATAAAGGAAGTAACTGTGAGGAAAATTAGAGAAAAAAATTATTATACATTTTTCATAATCAATGCTGATATCATACTCGTGCCAGTATTTCTGAATTACATTCCATCAATGTTTCCATTAACGATAGAAAATGCAATGTAATCGTATCGGCAAGCTGTAAATCAAATTTTGAAAAAAAAAGTTTTTTAAAATAAAATTTTATGAAATTTGAACATTTTGATGCAAAAAAATGAACTAAATAAAAATGAATAAAAAGCCAGGAAATTGGCTCAACATACCTGTGGTATTTCCTGTTTTTGTAAACAAAGTAAAGCCAAGATCATATAAATTTGCGAAAAAAGCAACAACAAGCACAAATTTGATTAACGAAAAGAAAAATATAAAACAATTCAACTTACGGTCATTGAATGGCTAATAATCTGCAAAATTCCAGGTGTAACTTTGGTCCAAAAATCTGTCAATACCAGAATGTTTTGATGTGCTGCATCTGAACCGGGTGGATTTTGTGATGCCAATTGTTCACAATATACGGTCCACAATTGACATAGTAGAAATGCATAAAACAATGCAGACATGTGAACGACAGATGATTTGGATTCAGAACCAAAACCGGCCAATATAACATGGACATGTTCGGCAACATGATTACTAACATCCAATGGTATTGGTTGTGATACCAGTAATGATGATTGTGATGGATGACATTTCATCAATGCCGTATGCTGTAATGAACCCAATAATATCCATGATAATAATCGTACATGAGCAATACATTCAGAAAATTCTTTTGGTCCATTCTGTATTGATGGTAATGAATATAACCATGGTAGATATTTCGTAATAGCTTTCGAATCTGATCCACCTAATCGGGTAAGTTCCAATGCTAAAAATTGTGATACACCAGCTTTAAGATTACCACCCAATGTTTCTTGATTGATATGAATAGATGTTCCTTGAAAATTACTACGTAATTTAGCTAATGCATGTAAATCACCAATAAATTCCAATAACTCGGGTATGAAACATCGAAGACATTCGGTTGCATTCGTAGTGGGAAGTTCAACCGTGATACCGGTTAAACCAAGCTGTCGATTTTGATTACGTTCCAATGATTGTACAGAAATCGAATATGGAAGTGAACCACCAGCATCTTCTAATGCCCATTGTACTAATGCGAAAATATTTTCATCCGGTGCCTGTGTTCGAAAACGTAATGCCTGTACAAGTTCCTGGGCGAATGTACGTGCAACACAGAAACGATCACGATCACGTACATATGCACGATTACAATGAATACAAAGATCACGTACATGTTCCAACAGAATGGGTGAATGTTGAAATATATGTGCCAAAATTTTAGTAACTGGATCCAAAATTGATCGATGTGCACCAATACCGGGTATTTTAAACAATGCCAATAATACACGCATCAATGGCACAAGATTATGAATATTTGGTGCTATATCCACCAGATTGAATGCTAATCGACGAAGATAATTTTCTAAAGGGGTCATTAGATCAGACCATGGTTGATTAGCAACGATTGATGCTCCCATTACCGGTACATTTGCACCATATTGACTTGAAATTATTGGTGATAATGTTGATAGGGAACAACTTTGTGTTACATTATAATCAACGAAAACACATTCAAAATATGTGGCTACATTTGATAAGGTGAGAAGAATTTGTGCCAATGGTGGTAATTGTTTATCATCGGTTAATGCTTCAAACAACTCTTTCAATGGTGTCACCTGGTTCAATTCGACAAAATCCGCTAATGATATGGCTATCGAACGAAACATGATAATATCACCAGAATGTGTTTGAAAAATTTGACGAAATATTCCATTCGAATTCAATTGATGCAATGTACAACGAATGAATTGTCGGGCAATACTGGCCGTGTTACCTGGAAGATGAATATTACTTTCCATTTGCCATGGAAAAACACAACGTAATGCATAACGAGATGTTAGTTTCAATATCTGTGGTAATGTAGGTGCAGCCAACGTTGGATTACGATGAACAAATGTAGCCAGAGCAACTAGACAAAGGCCAAGTTCATGTTCATCAAATTTTTCAATAGGCATACTACAACCATTACAAAGTTCAAATTGTTGTTGATGATGATGAAAAGATAGATCCGAATTGGTCGAATCATTTGATCGTCCTGTTTGTTCTTTACTTGATTGTGGTTGTTGTTGTTGTTGTTGTTGTGATTCCGATTGTGTATTCATCATTATTGTATCTGGAATCTGTTGTTGTTGTTGTTGTTGTGCAGGACGAGCAGATGCTGGGGCTGAAAATGAATGCGGTGATGTCGATGAGGTTCCTGTTCCAGGTTCTGATGATTGTTGTAGTTGCGGTGGTGGTGTTGAAAAAATTAATGAACTTGTCTGTTGTTGTGGCATCGATTTTATTGCTGATGATGATGATTTATTTTTTGTTTTCTTTTTCTTTTTATCTTGTTGTTGTTTTGATGATTTCGAAGATTTCATTATTGTTTCTGGTTTCGATGATGTTAATGATGTTGTCTTTATACTTATCGATGATTCAAATGATGGTGATTCAATTTTTGTTGGTGATGATGGTTGTGTTTGGGTTTGTGTTGGTGGCATTCGTTGTTGCTGCAAATGATTAATCGTTGTTGGCCTCTGTATTGATTGATGAATTGTCTGTTGTTGTTGTTGTTGCTGCTGCTGCTGTTGTTGTTGTATTTGACTATTATTTAGATTAGGACTTGATGCCGATTTTACTGGTGAAAGATTTTTTTTGATTTTTTGATTAATAATTGTTTTTGTTATATGTTGTTGAGAGGGTTGTTGTTGAGAAGGTTGTTGTTGTTGTTGTGATGATTCCGGTACAATTATTTCTTTTGATGATACAGTTGGTGATACAATTATTTGTGATTTTTTCAATTCTGGTTCAAGTTCTGGTCGAATTGTTGCAATAACTAATCGTGGTCTTGAATTTGAATGTGATGATGATGGATCCATTGAATCCATTGATTTGGATGATGGTAATAGTTTATCACTGTCATCAGGACTTTTATTGGTCGTAGCAATAGTTGTATGTTGTCGTATTAAATGATGACGATTACGACGAGAAGATTCTTGTTGTTGACCAGTTGTTGATCTTTCAACCGATCTACTACCACCGGTTAATGTATGTGATCTTGAATGATGTGGCCGTGGTCCAATTGGTAATAAACGTTCTTTAGATTGATTACGTTGTGGTGGTGGTAGCTGACGAAATGCTTCCAATGTTTGTTGATAATTCAGACAACAAACTTGACCGGTAGCGGCCGCACAACAACAACAACATGGTTGACTATTACTAATTGTTGTTGATTGACTTGGATTGCCCATACTACCAGGTGTGGTTGCGGTTTGTTCAGATTTCATTGATGATTGTTGCGGATCCATAGATTGTTGTTGTTGTTGTTGCAACATTGATGGATATAATGGACGCCGTTGTAGACTTGTACGAATTGCTTCACATAATTCACCACCAACCGGTAATAATCGTTCCATCGGTATAGATGGTGGCAGCGGTGGTGGTGTCGAAGATGTTTCCATCGATTGTGATGATTCAATTATTTTACGTGAATCCTGGACAACTTTATGGACAGATTTTTTCCCTTGTTTCGAATGTTGTTGTTGTTGATTGTGGTGATGATGATGATGATGATGATCAGTATAAACTTCAACTTTTTCCACTTTAATCTCATCCAATTCTTTGACAATTTCTTTTTTAATCAACGATGATTGTTGTTGTTGTTGTTTTTCTTTCATGGTTTTTTGTTGTTCCAATTCTTTAGCTTTATCAATCAACATTAGCATTACATTCAATTCTTCATCTGGTTGTTGTTGTTGTTGTTGTTGATCATTATGATTCGAATCTTCTATAATGGGCGAATCAATCGATTGTTGTTTAGATGTTACTGATGTTGCTTGTGGTGGTGGTGGTGGTGGTGGTGGCGATGAAATTTGTTGTGGCTGTTGTTGTTGTTGTTGTTCACCTGCTGATAAAATCATTTTAGCAGCAGATAATGTTGTAATTGTATCATCGTTTGAATTACAAATAGATTTTGTCTGTTGCTGTGATTGTTGTTGTTGTTGTTGTTGTTGTTGTGGATTTCTTGTTGATTCTTTTTGTTCACGTGATCGTCGTCTAGCTGCAGCATCAGGATTACATTTATGTTCCAATGCTGATTCCAATGTATTCTGTACAATTTGTATCAGATGCTGTATGAATTTTGCATTCATTGTAGATGATGCATATTGATGTTTATATAGAATAATGATCAATGAATTTAACCATGATCTACGAAGATGTGATTGCAATAACCACAATGAATATGATGGTTGAAAATGTTCCAAATCACTAACATAAATACAACGATATTCTGCAGGACAATATACCATTACTGGAAATATTAACGATAATAATAATGATCCAACCGAAAGATTCATATCCAATACATCAGGTAATGCTGATAGAAAAGCTGAAAATACGGATTTTCGTCGTAAATCATATGCACTTAATAAGAAGATATTCTCTGACATACTATAACCAAGTAATGTATTCAAATGTCTCAATACAATAATTTGTGTACGATTCAATGATTTATCATCGATTGGATGTTGTGGATCTGGATATGATAAAAATTGCATAAATAAAAATACCAGCAAATGTAATGTTTCTTGATCACAATATTCACCACCACCACCATCATCCATTGTACGATGTACAACATTGAATAACATTAGTTCTTCTTGTGCCATATCTTGTTTACTTTGCCCTTGATCTTGAAAAAAATTATTTGGAAATGCTGAACCAGTGAGGGCAGCAAGTTTTGAACTTTTTCGATTTATAGCCGCTTGATTTGAGGCTGATAAATTTTTCATCATTTTTTCACTACGATGATGATGTGGACGACCACTACTACTACCAATTATCATTGATCCACTACCATCTGTTCCTGGTACACCACCGGAACTAGATACAGATGACTGTTGTTGTTGTAATTTTTGAAATAAATGTGATTTTGATGAATGTTGTTGACCACCATGATGAATAGATGACGGTAATTGAAAATCAACACTACTAGCAGATTGACCAACATTGATAACATTTGTCGAGCGTAATGCATGTGTAAAAAAACCAGCAACCGATAAAAGATGTCGTTTTTCATTACGTCCACTAAAATGATGTGGTAATAGTGAACGTTTCAAATGAATATGTCCCAATGCTTCTTGAGCACGGCTAACTTTTTTCTTATACGTTTCAGAATGTACATTTGTATTACGTAAATCACGTGTACCAGATTCGGTTGCTGTTGCTGCGGTACCGGTACCAGTACCGGATGTAGCCATCATATCCATCATATCCGATGATCCAGTCATATTATTATTATTACGAATAACAACTGTTGGTAATACTTGTGCTTCAAGAAACAGGGCATCAAAACGATTTAGGAAAAATTCCCATGTTAATATACGACGTTCATTCAAGTGATTGAATAGCTGCAAAAGACTTGAAAGAACCAAACAACGATCAACAATAACGAGATCAAATTGCATTTCTAAACATATGACATATATTTTCAATGATGCTGCACGCATTAATTCCAATGCGGTTAATGCACGTTGTGCAACGGCAGAATTAATATCATCCAATGTCTGGATCAAATGTATGAACAAACTGGATAACGCCGATTGAATGGATGGTGAATTTTTCATCGATGATTGATCAATAAATTGTGAAAATGTTGCCACACGTTCAATAGCGGCGAATCTAGTGCACCAATCATCGGAACGAAATTCCGTATTGATTGTACGTACCAGAACAGCAAGACCACCAGGTAATGCAATACAATGTAGCAATAATGGTACGGCAATTTGTGATATTTGTGAAAATTCAGCCTGTAATAAACGCCATAAACTAATAACCAGATATTTACGTTGACAACGGAGAAAAAATTTACGTTTCTTTTCATGTTTAGCCATTTGTACGAATACACCACAATGTAATGTTAACAATTTCAAACATTGAAGTAGATGATAAAGAACATCTGGATCAGAATGCAAAGGTATTTCCTGCAATAATTTCAATGTTAATCGTTCCGAAAGTGTTAATTGTTCAATCCATTTTGGTTCATTCGAATCATCATCATCATCATCATCATCATCATCATTGTCATCAATATTATCATCGGCTATTTCAACATTATCATTGTCATCTTGTTGTTTTTGTTGTCCATTATTTTCATTGATTGGAAACAAAAATAAACCATGATCTTTTGAAATACGTGCAAATGTATTCATGGTTTCTGTTTCCAAATGTTGATCAGCCAGATCAGGTATAATAGTCAATTCAATAATTGGTGTATATAATTGTATTATTTGTAATGAAAGTTGATACCAAATGGAACAAAGTTCACAGAAAAAACATTCTGTAAGCACAGAATCTGGTTTAAACATTTGACTTGTATCTGGTGGACGTTTCATCGATGAATGACATGTATGTGGTCCATGTGTACATTCCGTAGTATGGATCATTTCATACAATAGGATCAATGTGTTGAAACCAAAATCTGAATCTGATTTAGACATTTTTGCCAATGTTAATGGTTGATACGATTTTTTCTGATCATTAAAACCTTTATGACCTGGTTGATCTGGTAGATATTCAAATTGTTTGACAATTATATCCAACATTAATACATAACATGATAATTGTGATTGTTGTACATTTTCCATCGATATTGATGGCAAAACTGCCATTGATGCTGATTGTGGTATTTCTGGTTGTTGTGGTGTCGATGTCATTGATTGTTGTTGTTGTTGTGGTGGTGGTTTGCGGTTGTACTTCCTGTTGATCTTTTTGTTGTTGTTGTTGGTGGTGGTGGTTGTTGTTGTTGTTTAGTTTCTTGTTCCAATTTCTGTTGTTGTTGCTGCTGTTGAATGCACATTTCACGTAAACTTTGAAATGATTTAATACCAGCCAGAAACATTTGTTCCAATAAATACATTGGAACAGGAATCTCTAATAACGTTAATATTTGTAACCAAGATAATGCCTGCTCTTGTTCACCAGGTAATTGTTGATCAAATGATCGTGATATAAATCGATACATAACATCAGCTTCAAGACCCAGTGGAGAAAGATCAGGATCCAATACTTTGGATAATAAGATTTTCAATTCAGATAATTCATCTTCTGCCAGATCATAACGGAATGATTCCATCCAAAATGGCATTATATAGGACCAAATATCTGGTGTAATTATATCATATGGTACTAAACAAAGAAGACGTTTAAATCCTTCTTTTATCTGATTTGTCATCGATGGCCAACATTCCCAATGGCCACCGATTTGGGCATGATCTGGTGGACTTGGTACAAGGCAATTAGCAAACAGACAGAATTGTGATTCGATAACTTTCATAAGCCAACCATGTATGGATTCGGATTTTATTCGTTCCAATGCTGATCCAGCTTGATCATCTGGTAAACAAGCAGTATTATGAAACCATTGACAAAGCATCGCTAACATACGTCCCAATAATTCAATACGTTCATTTGTATTGGCTTCAGCTGGATCAACTAATCCAATCAGCAGCCATATTCCATATCGGCTTAATAATTGTCGTTCTTCAATGGAAGAATCATTAGAATCACCAGCTGTTTGTTGACCAACACCACCACCACCACCATCACGTCCACGATCACTGCCACCAATATTCGAGTTACCACCACCGGCACCTGTTGCACCACCACCGCCGCCACGATCACTACCTCCACCTGGTCCAGAAGCTGTACCATCAGTTCCACCGGAACCAGCAATACCACCAGGACCAGAAATACCAGCACCACCACCACCGCCACCACCAGTCATACGATCAGCACCTAATGATGAACCCATCGCACCGGTATAGGCACCTGTTCCATGAGTTCTCATGTAACGTTCACCTTCTTTTGTAGATTTATCCATTGCAGCTGCTTCACGTAATAATGCTACCACTGCTTCAGTGAAATGTTGTTGAGCTTCCAATGGAAGTTGCCAAAATGATCGAAGATGTTCTTGAACCAAATGATTACTACCAGAATGTCTACCACCAGTTGTCGTTGTTGATGATGATGAATTTGGGGATGCTGACGTTGGCGATTGTTGTTGATTAACGACACCGGAAGCATTTGTTGCCAGTGTTGTTGTCGGTGTTGTCGATCGCACAGCAATTGAACCACCATGTCTTTGTTCATGACATTGTAGACATAATCTTACTGGTTTATTACAATTGAAACTTGTACATTCTGTACTAAAACAAGTGACAACAGCTGGTTGTAATTGATGTTGTTGTTGATGATGATGATAAGGCATTGGTCGGCCAGTTGTTTGTTGTTGTTGCTGCTGCTGCTGTTGTTGTTGTTGTTGTTGTTGTTGTTGACCAAGACAAGATTTACTTTCACATGTATAACTTATTTCAGTCATTGGATGCAAAACATTCAATAAAATATCTTGACTTTTGATTGATTTGTTCAATGAATTTTGTTCCCGCACCAATTCAGCACATTCAATACAGATCAACAGTGGTATTGGTGGTCGACCTTTTAAATCGATCGATGCTGGTAATGCTGTCATACCGGAGGCAGTTTGACCACCACCACCGCCGCCACCACCACCACCAGCTCCACCAGATTGTCCACCACCGGTAATAGTTGACGAACTTTGATCAATTTGTGCAAAACAAATTTTCACTGCTTCATTGTTCAATGTATTTTGACAGGTATCATTCTGACATGTCAACGGTTTCCATTGTTGATGTTTTTCCGATAATTGTTTCCGATCCAATATACTTGGATTTAAACCGGGCCAATATTGAAATAATAATTCCACTGAAGCATGTCGTGCCTTACCGGTTCCATAAGCGATAACCACCAATAAATCTTGTATAATATTCGATTTCAGACGCATTAAACATTCTAATAATTGTGAATGTAATGATAATGAATCTGTATGGCTAAGAACGGTCATCAATATCGATGGTATGGATGCATTTGCAAAATCGAATACATCATTATCTTTTGTTTCACCTAGAAAAGAAAAGTGAATCGATTAATCGATATTTTTGTCGATATATAATAAAACTTACTATAAAGTGTAAATGGTAGAATATTATAGCATAACATATCGATTATATCTTGATGTGAAATAAAATTCAACGAAATTGTATTGGCAACACTTAATGGCATTGAATCCATTAATTCATGTTCAAGAAATGGTACCAAACAAACTAATGCATGTAGTAGATATTCAAAAACAATCGGTGCATTCGATGACAATGATGATTGAATATTGGCAAATGAATCAAGCATACCGCTTAATGTATAGAAAAGATTACGATAATCAAGATTTGGAAAAAAACCAATCCTAATGGAATCACGATTTGGATCACGAATCAAATCAATCGGTATACATGGTACATCACGTAGAATGGTCAATAATGCTTGTGAGAAAAATTTCAATACATTTATTATGTCCGGTATTGATGGATATGGTGTGATGCCATTCAACAAACGATGATGATAATCCTGTAAGTTTCTTATTTTTGCCGAGACTGAAAAAAATAAAAAAAAAAAATGAAATTAATTAGTGAATACAAATTTTGAAATTTAAAAAACAAAAAAAAATTTTTTAAAATCATCGAACCAAAAGAACGAAATTGAATCGAATGGAATAGGATTCGCATAGTGTTTTTGGTCGAGTTTCGAAAAAAAATGGACAGAATGAACTAGAAAGAACGGAATCCAACTTACAACTGGCGGCTCGTGTTCCCATTTTCAACATGATTGCTGATTTTTTTTTTTTTTGATCGTTTTGGTTGTTTATTCGATGTTTTCTTTTTGGATTTACAATCAATCAATCAATCAATCGATCAATCGAAGAGGAGAATTCTTTTTTTTTGTGATATAATCTGAATAAACACGAGAAATTTAAAGCAATAAAAACCCAACAACAACAACAGCAGCATAGCACGATGATCATAAAATTCACTCAGAGCCATAACCGCATACACAGATGGATGATCATCAATAAATTTTTCTTTCTCTGTGTGTGTGTGTTTGATGATTTTTGAAGAAAAATTTTCGTCGAAATGAATGAAATTAACAAATGGAAAAAAAATTTTTTTTTTTGTTCATTCATCAAATTTTCGAATGTAAACAAAGTTAGTGTGTGTGTGTGTGTAGTGGAATATATTCTCTCTGGTTTTTTTTTCTTGCATCCATCTTTCTTTGGTTGTGTTTGCTCTATAATCATCAACTCGAATGCTATTATTGGTAAAGTAGGCAGTAGTGAGCATCCTCTTTTTTTCGGTTTACACTTGATGTGATCCAATACCAAAAAAAAAAAAAATCGGGCAAAAAAAAACACAGAGACTGCATCCTTTTTTTGATCATTTTGGTTGATATAGAAATCAGCACTGTGTGTGTGTGTGTGTGTGTCTGTGATGTTTGGGTGTATATAGCAATTGTTTGAAGAGCGATTTGAAGAAAAGCGGCGTGTATGGCTCTAGTGGCGGAAGTGGTGGTGGAATTAGCAACCTGAATATGGTGAAAATGCGTTATTGACCCTTTCATGAGGAAGATTGAAACATTGGACGACCGATTTTTTTCCTATGTTATCCGATGATGGTCGCTATTTTCTTTCTATCAGCGCGCCATGATCGTATGAAACCAATCGGTGTAATCAGTGATATTCAATCAGCCTTTCATAATATCGAAATCAACAAAGAACATCGTGACTACGTGAAATTTTTATGGTTGAATTTGGATGATGATAAATTAATGTGCTATCGTTTCAATCGTCTGCCATTTGGTCTATCGTCTAGCGGCTAAATTAAAGATGAATTTGCTGAAAGATTTGAACAATTCAGAACCAAGAACAAGATCACTCTGACATTCATAGTGAATCCTCTCAATACAAATATCAACGAAATCCATATTGAGTCATTTGGAGTTGATATTTGGAGTTGATATTGGATCTTTTGAAATCCAATTAATCGATTTAAAAACTAAATCTTTGTGGAGTGGAAAATTTACAGAATTGAAAAACAAGTTGGAAGAGTTGGAGGTCCAGAAATGTATGCACGTAATGCAACAACAGTGGACAGCTTTCCAACAGCACAATGTTCACAAATGTTGGACGAAGCATCGATGAAGTTACGCAAATGGAGATCGTCAAATCACGGATTGAATCAATTATGGAACGATAACCTAGCAGAATCTAAAGTATTGGGTATGGATTGGACAGATGATGATTACAACAGTCTTCGTGTAATGATACCTGATTGGGACGAAAATAAAGCATTGACAAAACGATATTTAGTCAGCTATGTCGCATCGATATATGATCCTTTTGGTTTGGTGTTGGCCACCAATTTACTATTGATTCATCAGGCGTGGATACGACGAACTGCCAGATGAATTTAAACGAAAGGTCATGAAGATCATGAACGATATTCAATTATTGAAAACATTCTCTTGTAAACGATTTATATTTGATCGAATCGTAAACGGATTTTCACTAATCGTACTACTTGTGGACACACGAAAATCAAACCACAGAAAGAAACAGTGGTACAGCGCTAAAGAGTGTAAAAGTGTTGACAACAACGAAAATGTGGTATGATTTTCGTGCGTAGAGCTTTCGAGAACTGTTCGCAGCGACATTTCTGTTGTTGCGGTTATAAACAGCAACATTTGAACTTACTCCCCCAGCAAACACTGTCTTGTCATTGTTATTTTGTCCTTTTTGTTTCGACAAAAAATTTGAAAAACTTTTTTATTTGTTACAAAATGACCAGCTGTACATTAAGTCACACTATAATAAATAATAAATTTTGATTTTTGAAAGAAAATTTTTAAAATATATTAAATGGGGTTATAACAGAATCCCCCAATTCAAAATCAATCACACACAATCACGAATTGATTTCTGACCATATAGAAAAGAAAAATATCATTCACAAGATGAAAGACGATAATAAGTAAGTATTCAAAACCAAGTATTGTAATAGTGGATAATCTGGCGAGTACGCCTCTATTTTGGGTCGGAGCCTTACTTTCACATTTCGTTGACGATTATCAACGTTCAAAACACTGAAATCGAAAATTTATTCCATCTAGCCCGCCGTGGTCGTATACACGCCAATGGAACTCGTGTTTCAATAATTTCATAGCTTCTTGTAGCATACGGCTCAACCTTTTCAAATTTGTACCATTATCAGAAATAATCGTGGTTGGCATTCGACATGTACATGCGATTGAAACATTGGACTACTCCATCTAGCCCGCCGTGGTCGTATTGGTGAGGTTAGGTTTACCCGCCGCCGTGATCGTATAGTGGTTAGTACCTTGCGTTGTGGGGGGAAGCAAACATTCAACTATGATATGTTGTGTTGTTCAATTCACAGTGCCGCAATAACCCCGGCTCGAATCCGGGTCACGGCAAAAGGCGAAATTTTTTTGCTACACTCTAAAAATACACACCATTTTTCGAGTGTACACTCTAAAATAGCTACACTCTAAAAATACACACCATTTTTCGAGTGTACACTCTAAAATAGACTCCATTTTTTAAAATTTATTATTTATCAGTATATTAATTGTCGAAATAGCCATTTAACAACGGTATGGTTGTGCTGGTGATGAATGTTGTATGTCTTTATTTTGTGTTTTTTGGTTTTGTTTGATGCAATCGTATCAACATTCTCGCCATGGAACTGCAGTTCAAAATGAAGAAACGAATGACATGACGCCTATTCAAAATCAAATTGATATTCCGAACTCCGAACAAATAGATTTAATTGCAATCCAAAACGGAGGCTCGAGAGAGAACAATCAACTGTGTGAAAATCCAACACACAATCGGTGACAGTGGCGCCGCTACTGTCAATAGTCAAGAAAGTGGTGAACAAGAACTTGGCAACAAATTATTGATATATTGCAAATAATATTGGATCAAATGTGGAACGAATGTGGAAAATGAATGGTTCGATTGTCTGATTATAATAAAGTAAATCAAAAATTCAACAGAATCCAAGTATGTGGATGGACAAGAATCAAAAATAGATATAATGATGATAAATTTGGCAAAAATCTAACTGAATCTCATCATCTACTCGTCAAATCCAAGTCCAACTAATCAACAACTGATGTTTGTACCGCCATCTGTCGTATTGTGGTACTATTAAGTTGTTTTTTTCTCGAAGATAAATTTATTATTTTTTATAATCATCATCAACGAAAAATGGGTTAAAAATTTCAAAAAATGAAAAATAAATTAGATAAATAAACAAAAAAAAATAGCAACAATTAATAATAATAAAATATAAGCAACAACAACAACAAAAAAATTTCAATGATGAAATAAAATAAAATTGAAAAAAAACACAAAATAATGAATGATGATCGATGATAATAATAATAAATGAAGACGATCGTTGTTGTTTTTTTTTTGATGATCGATGAAACGATACATTGTCATCATCACATCTTGTGTGTGTGTGTATGTTTTATGCTTTTGCTTTAGCTTTAGCTTTCGATTTAGCTTTATAATCATCGATTATTGTATTCATGACAGCGATATTACCATTACCAACATTATTGTCATATGGTAGATATGATTCACGCCATGATGTTAGATCCATTTCAGGTAGATCGGCACAATTGACACGAGGATTTCTGTTTAGATTTTGGACAGACAAAATAAAAAAAAAATTCAAAAATCAATTCCAACAAAAAAAAAGTAAACAAAACTTACGATGTAGAATGTGCTGCCAATAATGGATAAAGCTGTATACTTTCCATATCATCAGCCGCTTCACATAGGATACGGGCTAATTTTGTTTTCCGAATTTCAGACAATTGATCCATTGAAAATTTCGTTGTACCATGGCCATTTTCATACCAAAAACGATCACCTTTACGTATTTGAGCAAATTGTTCGGCAATAATACATGCAAATGTAGGTCCAACCATAGCACCCATTAATGGAAATTCTGCTATACCAGCCGACCAGAAATCAATATCATCCACATGTTCATAAAGTTCCATATAACGTCGAACAGTTTCATTATGAACTATGCCATAAAGATCGGTAAAATGTTTGATACGTTGCATACCACAATATTCACGCATATAATTATAACCAGGTACACCCATTTCACGTCCACGTAAAATATTTATAGCCGCTAAATCAAGACCAAATTGTTCACCAGGTTTTTGAAACAGATGATTTGTAATTTCATTGGCCATTGTAACATCAACACGATAAGCAGGTTGATTGACCATACCAAAAATGAATGAATCCATTACACCAGGATGATAGAGGCTAAATGGTTGCCGTAATACCGATGCAAGACGAACTGAATCTGTTTTTCAACACATCAAATGATTGTCTGATGAAAAAATGTTTCCTAAATTGACATACCAATTTTCTGATGAAATTTATTAAATCGATCCACTGTATCCGGAACTATTGAATGTCCAAAACGAAAAGCGGCTGCTTGAAATTCAACACGAATGCCGGGATTAATTTTTGCATCATAACCATGATAATAGCCAAATTTTTGTAGATTTAATCCATATTTTGTCATTGTTTGACGACCAACAACAATCGGTAAAAATTCATTATATGTAATATGTTGTATCATTGCCGATACTATACGACGTGTTTCTTGGAATAATTTTTCATCCGACCAATGTGGATTAATTTCACTCAAAACATCGGCAATTTGATTATGATGTCGTAACCATATGGTGTGTAAAACCGTAAGCTGCAATTGTACATTGGAACGTGTATCACCTGTATCGAAACAATAAGAATTCGATGTACGTCCACTACGTTCACATCCTTGATCAGGATTTTTTGTTTTAGCTGGTAATAAATCTTTAAGACCTGAATCAAGAAAAAAAAAGAAGGAACAAGGAAGAATTGAAAGTCTTTGTTTTTTTATGGATCAAAATCAATTGTTTTTATATTTTCATCTGAAACATGAAACATAAACTTGTGGCCAACTTAATCAAATTAGCGTCGTTCGTACAAACGTAAATGTAAGTAGAAGAAGAAAAAGAAGAAAAAAAAATCTTTGAAAAAAAAGTAATTTCTAGGAGATAATAAAAAAAAATGAAGAAATGAAGAAATCCTGAGGTTACTACAGACTATTTGGTGGTACTGTTGTGGTTGTTTTTGTTGCTGTTGTTGCAATTTTCTAAACTGGATCAAAATATAAAAAAAAACTTTCAACTCTTTGAATAAGAATGAAAATGAAAGTCAGATTTATGAGGTCATTTCATTTCAGTTTCATTTTCATTTCATCATGAAGAAGAAGAAAAAAATGATTTTTTTTTTTTCATTGAAATTGATTTTTTTCCTCTTTCATTCGATTTCAATTTTTTTTCAAGTTTTAATCACATACACACACACACACACACACACACACATACCCATTTGTCTGTAGACTTTTGTCGATTTCAATCGGCCACCATTAAATTCACGTATACGTTTTGTAGTGGAAATGGCACCACCATATATACAATCAGCGTCCAAAAATGATGACACAACATTTATCTGATGTCGTGGACCTAATGGACAATTTGGTTTCACACCGGCCGTTGATCGAACAAAATCCATACATTTTCTTGGATAAAATTTATAATATGGATCATCATTTGGCATTTGTATTGGATAACAATTTGGATGTCGTTGTTGTGGTGCATATTTACAGCATTTAATTGATTGATCATTTTTATCTGATGAGAGTGGTAAGGAGAAAATAAAAAACAAAAGCCGATTAAAAAAATGACAATGAACATGAATTAGGAAATGGAGATTATTTTACGAACAAAAAAAGGGTGAAAATGAATAATTATGCAATGCACCACCTCCAACATTATTATTAATTAATATATAGTGACTTGTATTATGGAAAAAAAAGAAACACAAACCTTTTGGCATTGAAGCAAATGTTAAATCATGATCAACCATCTGGCCCCATGCAATAACCAAATAGGTTACTTCAGTATCATAATCATTTTCATCAGCCTGATGCAATACAAATGAAACAACACGTGGTGGTGGCAATGGTTGGCCACTTTTAGCCATTCTTGGTGCCGATAATCCTACGAATAAAAACAAAACAATAGCATCATTATTTATGTGTAGGCGGCAGTAGTGAATTTTTTTTTTGATGATTTTTTCGTAATTTTTTTTTCTTCTTTTCTTACCATCAGCATAATCAGGTGGCATATAACGTAACATTGCTGAACGTGTTGAACCCCAGCTTGGATATTCAAGATTATTGCACATACCACTGAGAGTACGATATTTATTTGATTCACATTTCACTGGTTTCATTATCGATGGACACATATCACGTATAATTGTATTGGTTGTATCGATCCTTGGTAAACCATAAACAATGGCTTCTTTACTCAAGCCATATGAACGTGAAAGAATTTCCGATGCTTTCACTAATAATTCACCAACTTTTGCTACATGTTCTGGTTTAGGATAATCGGATGATAAATGATTATTTTCCTGTGGTATACTAAACATGCCCAGTGACATTTTTGCCGATTGTATTGCTTGATTAATATCCTGATAATTTAGACAGATATTACCACCACCACCGGTCATCATATATGGCGTGGAACGTTTTGTTATATGATGATTGTTGCTTGAAAAATGGATTTGGGCAGAAAAAAGAAATTTAGCACAGAAACATGATTGCAAAACACACTTACCCAGTAATAGCAGACAAATATTTTTGCAAAATTGGATGCATTGTCGATGCTGAAGACCGGAATGAAATGCCACCTAATGCACCATGATGATGATTAGGATTGGTCAATATTAGCTCGGCATTTGTTAATGCATCATTATCATTGGGATAATAATATGATGATGATGATGGTGGTGGTGGTGGATAATTATCATTAACATCTAGATTAATAACCGGTGGTAACGATTGTGGTTGTGTTGGTAGTGGTGGTGATAATTCAGTCATTTCTTCTAAATTATTCATAAATGAATATGAAGCTGGTAATATTATGTCACATTCTGGATGATAATCTGGTGAATATGGTGATGGCCGTGCCATTATCGAAGTACCAGTATCATCATTGAAATAATTTTCTAATGATGATGATGATGCCTGTATTATTGATGCCATCATCATCATCATCAGAATGATTGCTGTACGAATAATCCATGATGATGAAAATTTTTGCATTTTCAAATTTGATGATGATATCGTATTTGATGATAATAAAGACATTTTATGAAAATTTTCATGTATTACACCGGTAATTTGATTATGAGAATCATTGGAAAATTTTTCTGTTACATTTGCTGTTGTTGATAATCGACTATTATTTAAAGTAATCATTTTTCTATATGATAATAATATGGGCATTATAACCGTATCGATAATATTTGATAATGTCGTCGTCATCGTCGTCGTTGTTGTTGTTGTTGTTGCCAGAATTGTTGCCATTGTTCTTGATGAACAATCACCATGATGATGATGATGATAATATCGATTCATTATTATGTCGAAGATTACTTGATTCTCAAAATGAAGATTTACGATTTAAAGTCAAAAAAAAAAAAAAAAAAATCAAAAACGACCACCAATGATTGCTATGAACTTAGTGTGTGTGTGTGTGTGTGTATGGGAACAATTGAAAATTCTGTTTTTTGAAAAAGAAAACAAAAAGAGAACGAAAAAATATGATTAGTGAGGATCTTGTTTCATCATCATCATCTATTTAATCACACCGTGAATTGTAACAAAACAAACAAAAATGAAAGTTCAAAGAGAACATCAATTCTCTTTCTCTTGCTCTCGATGTACTAATAGAAATTAAATTCAAAGTCAAAGAATTTCAAAGATTTTCCATTTGTTTGTTTGTTTATTTATATTGTGATTATGATCATCATCATGATGATGGTGATGCACATATATAAATCAATTGAACAAACAAACAAAATGAAATGAAAATGAAAATGAAAATTGACCTATACACACACTTATTGTTCAATAAAGGAATGATTTTATTACAAATTTTGATTGAATGGAAACAAAACATGAACAATTGACTATTACTACTACAACACACAATTGAATTTCAATTGATTCATGTTCATATATATATTGATATTGATGATGATGATGATGATGATGATGAATGTCATTTTCAATCAATCAATCAATCATATTTAGAACATGCAAACAATATCACAATTATTATCGTGTGTGTGTGTGTGTCTGTTGGCTGAATTTTATCTGATTAGATGGGGAAAAAATAACAAAATTCCATGCGGAAAAAGGAATTTTAGAGAAAAAAAGGTTGAAATTCTAAAACCATTCCATCATCCATATATGTATGGATGTTCTAATCTTTTTCATTATACTTTGATTTGATTTGCCCTGTGTAACTATGTGACTGATCATCTGATAATTGGACACAGATAAATAACCACAACACATGTGAAATATATAGAAAAAAATGATGAATGAAAAGATGTATGAAACAAAACAAACATTCACACAATGTTAATGTGCAATGACCACCTGATGATTCATTTGTTTTTTTTTTGTTTCTCTAAATGAAATGAATGAATTGAATTTCATTTAGAGAAACAAAAAAAAGTGTCAACGACAATGATGATGAACAATAATCATTAACAAAACTCTGTGTGTGTGTGTGTGTGTGTGTGGAATGAAAATTGTCACCACTAAAACATACCACATGTGTTATAGTAGTTGTGTGTTTGTGAAAAGTTCAAAATTGATAATTGAATTTTTTTTTCTTTTCTTTTGTCTTTTGTTTTTTTTTTCATTATCATCAGGTGTCAAATTTTTTTCTTTCTTTCTTTCTACCAATCTATTTGTTGTCATCGTCGTCGTCGTCGTGATATAATAGTTTGTTTTGTTAACAAATTTATATTTTGGAAAGAAAAAGACAACAACAACAACAACAAGCAACGATATATGATGATTCGATGGCAAAAAAAATGAATTTTCGAATCAAAATAAACGTGGTGTTGTTCATAAACAACGTTATCAACACTAAAACCTGCTTGAATTTAAAATTCAGAGTGATGATGATTACGTAATGGATGAACATTATTTCCCCTCCCCAGTTCTTAGATTTGACTTTAATCATCATCATCATCATCACGAATGTTATGTTGTTGTTGCTGCTGTTGATCATTATGATGATGATGATGATGATGGCGGCCAGTTGAATAAATAAATCATTGATGATCTAAATCTCTCGAAACATATACATACACACGCACAAATGATATGATGTGATGTAATTTTGTGTACATTGAAAATGTAGAAAAAAAACGAAAAAAAAAATTAATTAGAAAATAAACAACAAATCAATCAATCAATAAATGTAATTTTCAACGGATTGATATGGAATGTGTTTTTTTTCTTAAAATTTTTGTTTTCAATCAAAAAAAAAAAAAAAAAAAAAATGGATCAAGCTACTGCTGCTGCTGTGTGTGTGTAAAATGTTCATTTTGATTTTGATTTCATTTTTTCGGGAATTTCAAAATTTTTTTTTTTTTTTTTTTTTTTCTTCAAAGGACAATGTCAATGCAATTGATAACGATGATAACGTTGATGATGTTGATGATGATGTGATAATGATGAATGTATGGGGGCCTATTGAATGTCACGATAGAAATGTATCTAATGTAGAAGAAAATGAAAATCTAAAAGTCTCAATGACACATTTTTTTGTTGTTGTTGTTGTATTGGGATTTTTTTATAGATCGTGCTTGATGACCAAAAATGACACACACACACACAAAATGGCTATAGCAATTTCATTTAATCAGCTTTGAATGTTGATGAGAATTTTTTTATTTCAAAAAAGTTCCAGCAGCAGCAGCAGTTTGTTAATTGAAAGAACAGCGCTTTAAATGGAAAAAAATGGACATTTTACATTTGCCGGTTATTCAATATGATGATGTTTACAGAAATAAAAAACAAAAGAGTCCTTTTTGGATCAACATTAGTCTTGACATTGGCCTCATGTGGTGGTGGTGGTGGTCGTCGTGTTGATGGCCTTCTCATCTGCATCAATGTGTAATTTAATGGGAAGTGGATGATGATGATGAAGAATGATAAAGGATAATCCAACAGATTCATCAAAACGATCAATCTTCAATGACTCTGCGTGTGCGTTGTGATCAGTGATTTATTGATTTTTTGATTACTTAAAAATGTTGAAATGTTTTTATGGATCATCATCATCATCATAATGGTCAAGTGATCAAAGCTGATCATTTTTGTTTACACCAAAAAAAAAAAAAATGTGCAGAATGATGTAATGATGATGAATTCGCATAGGTGACTCCTGCATTAAGCGGCGCCTTACTGTATTGATGATCAACAAAATAAAATAAAAAAAAAAAAACTTGTGCAACACACACATACAAAAATCCAAAAATTTTTTTTTTTTTTGAATATTGTGGTATTTTTGTCTCTCACAGAAAAAAAAAAATTTTTTTTTCTTGTCTTGGTTGAATTGAAAAACATAAAAAAAAAATCACAATTGATCATTGATGATGAAAGTGAAAGTGATTTTTTTTCTTCTCTTCTTTCTGGAAGCAAAAACAAATTGAATTTTTTTTTGAATCAAAATTAAATTAAATTTAATTGAATCAAATTGAATTCAGCAACAAAAAAAAAAAATGAGTTTCAGCCATATGATCATTGGATCAAGTGAAAAAACCCAACAATCAACATGTGTTTGTGTGTGTGTGTTGCACAAGGTGATTCATAAATATAGGGACATGATGATGATGATTTGAAATTGGGCATTTTTTAAGATTACAAAATTTCATTTTCACACCACCACCACCACCACAAAAACGGGTGTGAAATGATAATAATAATAATTTACATCGGTTCACACGGACATTGTCGTTGTTTGTTGACAATTGATTTTCACAGCGAACAAAAAAAATTTTTTTAAAAGGAAAAAAAGTGAAATTTTGAAGAAAAAAAATTTCACTTTTTTTCCATAGTTGAACAGAAAGATAACCAAGATTAAACAGATGTTTAATATGATATAATTAATGTCATTATCATCATCATTAGCCAGATCATAATGATCACATACATTTATTTGATCGATAATCGATCAAATAACGACGATAAAAGAAGGAAAATTGGATCTAGGAATTGTGTAATTGTTTTGCATTGTGTGTTGTTTGTCATTCATTTTTTACGAATATAATGTGAACAAAACAAAACAAAACAAAGAATAAAAAAAAAATTTCAAATTAGGAGCCATTCACAAACAAAAAAAAAAACAAGCAACTAGATAATTTATAGCCAGGAAATGAGCAATCATTTTTTTTCTTTTTACATTTTGCTTTAAGCCAAAAATTTTGAATTCAATCAAAATTTCCAAGAAAAATTGAAACATTTATTCTACATGGTGGAAACAAACAAATTACTGACCACCACCAAAACAAAATTGGACAAAATTAACCTCTCTTTTTTTTCATTTTCTACTGGATCAATTTTTTTTTTCATTATTGATCATTATTGTTGATTATTATCTTAATGAATGGCCATCAACTCGAATCAATCATGTATGACTGACTAAGTATCATCATCATAATCATAATCATAATCATCGTCAATCAGGGGTTAAAAATTGTTCAATTTTTTTTTTTAGTGTGAATATGAAGAAATTATTATGATTTCATAAGATGTTTGTTCCAGGAACAATCACCAAAAAAAAACAAAACAAAAACCAAACAAACAAAAAAAAAATTACACCAACAGGTTAACTTGACAGAAGAAAACAATTTTCATTGTTTGTGTTGTAACAACTTTTTAATGTGTTTTACCTGTGTGTGTGTGATATGGACATTATGTTCCATTTTGTTGTTTCATCACAATCATCATCATCATCGGTGAAAATGAAACAAAACAAAACAAAAAAAATGCTCATTTCAAGCACACAGAGAGAGAGATGTGATGATGATCATATCAGATCACATCACGATCATTAATGATGATGATGATGATGATTTGTTTGAAATTTGAAAAAATTCCAAAAAAAAAAAATAAATGTAGGCATCTCTTGAGTTTCGAAATTTTTTTTTTGTTTTTTTTTCATCGTAAAAATAGATCATCATCATCGTTTT